GTATTGAACTGTGTACTGCAGGAATTTTGAATACCGTCTTCTTTTCTTTTCAACTCCAAGCTGGCCCAAAACTTTGGAGTCCTTGTTTGGCACATTGTTCATTCTTGCTACACCCTGAACTTTTACAGCACATAAAATACTGTTCATAATGTGTCCTATGCTTATAATTACCAGCGAAAGATTAGCTTCCAATAAACTTATAAAAAATATAAGCTCAAGAAAGATTCCATTTGCTGAGAGTGGTTTACAAATTAGAAGAAGCCTTACTTCACTGAAATGCAGCATTAGTTGGACTTAAGTAGCTCGTCAGCAGAACGTACTGCACCTGCACAAAACCCCTATTTTTCATGGTTTTCGTTGGATTTTTGGTCAATCCCGCATCAGAATTTTGCCTATAGAACACAATATTTTTTCTTACATAACCTTTGGAAACTACAGACAGGATGTTAACCTTAAATACGCGAATACAACCTTATATGAGACATTCTGCCGAAGTGCTATACACAATACATTACGGGTTTTGCGCAGGTGCAGCACGTTCTGCCGACGTGCTGACTTAAGCTATGATACCTTATTCGCCCCATTATGTGACCCTTACAGGGTATACTTACCACAAAGCTATTGTGCAAAGTAACATTAAAGCATCAATCATTCCTTAGGTTGAACAGGTGGCACAAAAGGTGAGACAAGGGACACACCTGTCCGACATTATCAACCAAGGATTGAGGTGTTCAAGAATTCATTCTTTCCTAGAACTATCGCAGAGTGGAACTCGCTGTCATCAAGTACAGTAGGGGCATTATCATTGGATAGCTTTAAACAGTGTTTAGAGTTAGAAGTTCAAGGTTTAGGTGTAACAACCCGTTCGGTGTAATGTAGCCAGCTGCCGCCGCGCCGTGTGCCTGCGAAGCTGGTGTGTTACACTGAAGGGCGGTTATACCAGCTATACAGATACAGAAGCTGGTGTGTTACGTCGAAGGGCGGTTATACCGGCTATACTGATAGAGGCACAGATACAATGGCTGGATCAGAACAAAGAAATGCAGGTTGCCAGGGATTTGAACACAGGACCTTCAGATTCCAATTCAACAACCCAAACCACAAGACCACCTTACTGTACTCTGTAATTAGTATAGAGAGAAATCTTATTAGCAGCGCTGCACAATTGCGGGTCCCAAACAAACCCTCAGCGACAAAGCAGCCCATTGTAACACCCTTGTGTAACAGTAAATCCCTCAGGTTAGTGATCTGAAGGTATTTTTCTGCTTGAGCGGCGACCGACAGGTGGTCTGAGGGAACAGGTGGATCTGTACTGACCTGGGGTCTGTAGGACATCTGTAGAGAATAGGGCTCTAGCCAGCACCAGTTTTTCCGTCGATCGCCGGAACTTTGCAACGTGTGACAGATCTTTTTTTTAAACCAATCTGTCAACCACAACAGACAAAATTAACAAAGTATGAAAACATCAAAACTACATCAAAACTAAGGCTTGGACATCGAAAATTTCCCCAGACCCTCCTAGATTGTGCCTAAGGCGAACCCGGCCCCAAATCTGATGATAAACCTGTGCTGACGGAAAAAGATTTCAAGCTGGCTAGAGCCCTGTGTGGGACACCTGTAGGGAACCTTTTGTTTGTTCCTAATGTCCCACTTATGGAGTGATCTCTTCTGTCCATCAGATTCAACAATACTAGTCTATTTCTATTAAACACTGGAAAGGAAACTCCATGCCTGGAGGGAGTTCTGATATCAGGTCACATGTTGGGTAAAGATTAACGTCACTGTTTGTTACCTTCAGCAAGGATTCAAAACAATGGGTCAATTCAGGGTAGCAGTGTAGAAATCCACTTTTAACTCCAGGAAGATTAGCTATGTATGTATGTTTTACAATTTCAGACCACATGGTCTTTTGCTACATGCCTAACAGTACAGAGTCATTTTAACTTATTGATTTTAGAGTTCCACATCCGCCTGTTTCCTGCTTGTCTAGCTAACTGATCAAATGGTAAGTGTTCACAATCCATAAGCAGAGATCCCTCAGGAGGGTTGTCTCCTCCGCACACGTAGGCTTCGAGGGTGCGCCTAGCCAGCCTGGAGGGGTCCATGCGAAGAATGTGGCCAAGGTACCGGAGTCTCCTACGACGGATAGTGAGCATCAGGTTGTAGTCAGGGTTTGTTGCTGTGTCCCGAAAATGTTTCTTAGTTATCACTTGTAGGCATCTGCTGTTGAAACCGTTGATCATTCTTGTGACGTCCCGTGTTAAGTCCCATGCTTCACAGCTATGTGTGAGGGTTGAGCAGACGGAAGATTTGTACAGCCGTACTTTCATTGAATGGGGAAGTCTGTGGTCTCTCCAAATATGTTGTAGGGAGCTGAAGCGTGTTTGGGCGATCACCATTCTGTAGTTCACGTCCGCTTCCTGGTCACCGTCACATTGCATGCGGCTTCCGAGGTAGTCGAATGCGTGGACGTTTTCTAGTTGTTCGCCCTGTAGGGTGACATGTGGCCGTTCCTTTTCCTTGGCGAGTCTCTTCTGACGCTGCACTTCTTTGTCAGCAAGGGTACCGGTACGTGACCGGGTGTTTGCAGTGGAGGGATGGTGAAGGCACCAACGACTCCGGTGGATGGCTAGGCCTCTTTTTGTTGGAAATTCTCTGGTGCACTCTGGGCATCTGTGTTTGAGGTTCAAAGCGGCTACCTCGGCCTCGGTCGTCTTTGATACCCGCTCTTTACTGTGTATGTGCATGGCTTTGGTTTTGGGGACTGATATTTCCATGGCAGCATCGTCCTTGGAACCACTGGCTATGCGAGAGATGCGTTGGGAGGCCTCTTGGACACTACCGTCCAGCAGTCCTGCGTCGTCGGCGTATTCCAGACGGCTGATGTTTACTTGGTAAGGTGGACTGCCGACCGTTACCCCGGCGTTGGGGATATCATGTAGTGCGAAGATACGCATAAGTCCAATGATAAACGCCACCGGAGAGAATATGTCTCCTTGCAGGACGCCTCGCGAGATTTCAAACGGTTCCGAGAACTCTTGGTTGCCGTTAGGGCTTGTCACACGCACGCATCCAGTGGCCACGTTAAATATGGCTTGGATGATTCTGCGCAACTTGGGAGATGCACCAGCAGAGCTGAGCGCTTCATCAAGGAAGAGTTGGCTTTCGGTGTCAAACGCAGCAGCATAGTCAATAGCATAGGAAGATTAGCTACATACTTGGTTTTGTATTTTGAAAAAAAAAACATCATTCAGGCAGGAAAGCAAAAGGTATTCTATCCCCTGAAGTCTAATCCTCCTGATCTGGATCAAAATGTCAGAAACACAAAAATAATCCTTGAAATAAACCACAGGAATCCAGACTCAAACCTGCAGGAGGGAAGACAGAAAACAGCCTGGAGGTCAAATGTCTTAATCTTAAAGAAGATGAACGCCTCCTTTCCGGTTCCTTCAGGCACACCTGTCCTATGAACACTTGTTACCTTCTACATTACATACAGGTGATCCATCACTAAGTACCTGTCACTAGTACCTGAAGTATGTCCCTCACCAGCAACCTTTGTATTTCTGTCTTCCCTTGCAGAAAAGGCCCTCCCAAGGTAAAGTGGTTGACAGACTTTAAGTATAACTGTCTTCATGACTAAATCTAGCTTTACTGAACTGTACTGAGCTGTATTTTCATTTGCCCCCACAGAAAAAGGCCCTGTGCAGGTGAAGTGGCCGGCAGACTGCTACTGTCTTCATTATAATTTTAGCAAAAAAAACAAGAAGCCATAGGCGACAATTCTCCGTGAAGTATTATATATTGCAACAAAAAGAAGTAGCCATTGGCGACAATTCTCTGTGAAGTGTGATAAATCGAACAAAGAAAAATTGTTTAAACGCGCGTCGGCTCAGTCATCTTAAGACGCAACAACCAATCAGAGATGCGAGATGCCTACACGTGACGCGGGAAGGGCGCGCGATGCCCGAAATATTTTTGCGTCAATATTCAGCGCCGTGATTCAAGAGATTAATACCCGGAAACAATTTTTTTCTTGTTTTGAACGCATTAACATGCATTTACGCTAATCTAGTATGATTCAGGGTTACTTTTTTTTTAACCTGCCATGGCCAGATTATCTAAAGATGTGTGTATTGTGTGTACAATCTATAGAAAGAGAAATGTACATCAGGTCCGATCATCCGATTTTCACGTTTCGGTTTTTTGGACTCGGTTCATGAACGTATTTTGGTTTGGCTCCTGGAATGTGCAAAAAAATGACTCTCGGGACTGTCTACAGGGAACACTCGCACATTCGCGGTGTATCAGGACAGCGCGACTGGTCGTCATTAGCGCAGTAACAGTTGCATAAACGGACGAAACCATTTCAAAGAAATGGGGATGTTTCGAAAATAAGCATTTACTCCAATATCAAAACAGCTACGGTAAAAATAAAAAGACGTGCATCATCCCGGACATAATGCAACACCACATGCGAAATTACACAGAAATGCGACGTACGGAAGAATGCGTTTTGGCTGCGAACATCTTCCAAAAAACTTGGCATCTCTTAACCATGGGCAAAAACATCTGGAACCACTTATAAAAACCACCCCGTATCTGCATGAACTTTTTTGAACCCCACTGCTATTCCAAACAACGCGTTTTTCTGGACCATTCCAATTCGCCTCGTAATTGTAGGGGTGCGTCTGCGATATTACATTGACCGCGAAAGCAGCAACGGCAAAAATACACATTCGTGCATCAACACGGGCATGCCCGCAGACGGCGTATAAAATTGCGTGCCGATTACACAAAGAGAACCCAGTGTTTTGACTGCGAACATGAAAAATCAGCCGATTACAACACTCCGTCCGGAGGTCCTGACCTCCTTCACGGAGTAATTAGTCATGGAACCTGCTATACCCGTACCCGGGAGCTAGTAGAGTAACTTTTTAACTAGTTTTAGTGTACTGTACTGTACTTAGATGTATTTCCATTTGCCTCCCCACAGAAAAAGGCCCTGTGCAGGTGAAGTGGCTGGCAGACTGCTACCACGCTGGGAAGTCCGCGGCACAGCGCCGACAGATCCAGAAACGCTTCATGTCCGGAGAGCTCCGAGTCGTCGTGGCAACGGTCGCTTTCGGCATGGGTCTGGACAAGTCGGACGTGCGAGCCATCATCCACTACAACATGCCGAAGAGCTTCGAGAACTATGTTCAGGAGATCGGCAGGGCTGGAAGGGACGGGAAGCCTTCGCACTGTCATCTCTTCCTCAATGCTGATGTAAGGGAGACCCCTAGCAATTTGTGCTAGAACTGCACCTGCAGGCACTTTTTAGTTCCTCAAGTTTTGAGAATTACGTACAGGAGATCGGCAGGGCTGGAAGAGATGGCAAACCTTCACATTGTCACCTGTTTCTCAATGCTGATGTAAGGGAGACCCCTGGCAATTCGTACTAGAACTGCAGATACTTTTTATTTCATCAAAGGTGTTAGAATAAGAAATACATACAGGAGATTAGGCGAGCTTTGCACTGCCACCTGTTCCTCAATGCTGATGTAAGGGAGACACCTAGCAATTTGTACTAGAACTACAGGGATTTTTTATTCTGTAGTTTTGAGAATTACGTACAGGAGATAGGGAGGGCTGGCAGAGACGGCAAACCTTCGCACTGTTACCTGTTCCTCAATGCTGATGTAAGAGAGACACCTGGCAATTTGTACAGCAACTGCAGGAAGCTTCATCGACTCTTTACGGATCTGTTGGAGAGCACCCAGTAATCCATGCTAGAACTTTGTGTGCTTTCATTATGACTGAAATGTTGAGATTAGCTCGAAAGTCTGTCTATGTTGGAAGAAGTCATTTTAAAACAGGTTTGAACTGTAATTTCCAACAAAAAATCTTACATATCTGTTTTGATTGTTTTCCCGTCCCCTTCAGGGTTCTGACCTGTGTGAGCTGCGTCGCCACACCTACGGCAACTCTGTTGACAGAACGACGGTTAAGAAGCTGCTGAGGAAAGTTTTCCCCCGCTGCAGGTGTCGCGAGAAGCTACGTCAGGAGAGGGAACAAGAGAGGGGAGCACAGGTTGGTTTTAAAATGTATTTAACAGCAGTGGGAGAGAACTCTGTTTCCTAGTTTTGTGCATTCATGGTCATGTACCTTTGCAGAAGAAAAACTTATTATTTTTTGCTCAGTTTTGTGGGGAACAAATAAGGTTAATGACCTTAACCAGATGTCTGTCACCATGGTAACTGTTGCTGTAGCAGACACCCTGTGGTTATGGGTTACATTATATAGCAAGTAGAAGGATGGAATTGGAAGGGCTGGTCATCATAAATATGAATGTGTTTGAGGAAGATTTTTAACAGAGCAGTGTGAATGTAAATGTCAAGTATTTGCTGAACTGAAAGTTCTCTCCCTTTCCCCAGGAATCAGAATTTGAAGATGACGGTATAGACTACACCATGCTGTCAGAAGATGGGAACAACACCACACAAGTCTCTTCTAATCCTGACTCTGACCAGAACGCAACATCTGCAGTTTCCAGCCATCCAACTGTTGGCAGCTCGGAGGCCCCCCTGCCTTGTAGCTGTCCAGGGCATGTGGTGGCAGTGCCTATAGAAGCAGCTGTACAGGCACTGGATATGACGGAGGAAGGTCAGCTTTTTGGTGGTCCCTTAGATAATTTTTCCCACTTCCTGTTCTCATAGACCATATTTTATCAGTTCACCGAGAGATTTTCTTGGGCATTTTTTTACTGTACTGCTCTTTCGCTACTTTGGTTGAATGAAGTAGGCTGGCAAAATAGCTACAACCTAAGCTCCAATTTGTTTTTATAAATTGGTTTTGCTCTGTTTCTTCTTTTTCTGTTCCAAACACACTAGGTCAATGACCTGGACCAGATGTCTGTCACCATGGTAACTGGTGCTGTAGCAGACACCCTGTGGTGTTAGGTTACATCATGTTGCAAGTTGTAAGACAGAGTTGGACTAGTGTCACCACATGTGTTTGAGTAAGAATAAACAGAGCAGTAGCTTGCTAAGCTAGACCAATTGTGAAGGTGAACATTCTGCATTTGCTTTGCAAACGTTACCTTTCTAGTTTAAAATCTAGTTTAAAACCCTTTTTTGTCTGGTGCAATGGCCAAGTGGGTAGAGTGCTCGCCTTGCATTCGGTAGGTCGTGAGTTTGATCCCCGGCCGAGTCATACCAAAGACTTTAAAAATGGTACATACTGCTTTCTCTGCTTAGCACTCAGCATTTGGGAAAGAGTATGGAAGTTAAACACACACCACTACCAGTGGACTGCCCCCCTCCTGTGTGTGGCCCAGGCCTATAAACGGAGATGGGCGGCGCCCTATGCATCACTTGACGCGGGAAAGCTGTTTAACTTTTAATTTAACCCTTTTTTTGTCCCCCAGGCATCGCCACCTTGCTGTGCTACCTGGAACTGCACCCGCGGAAGTGGATCGAGGTGCTGCAGCCAATCAGGGCCTTCTGCACCATCCAGTTCTACGGGGGGCCGGGGTTACTACGGCAACACGCCAGGACCAGCCCCATCGTGGCAGCAGCAGTCGCCATGGACAGGAGGAAAGGCGTGGACCACTCCAACAGTAACAGGTACTAAGACTGGAGTGTACATTTGTACATAGTCCAGTGGTTAGCAACCCTGCCTCAGGACCAAGAGGTTGGGAGTTCGAATCCCGGCTGTTGTCGCTCACACTACTGCAAAGTGTTGCAGTCCTAGGATGGGACGTTAAGCCGTGGTCCACTGTTCATTGTGCTTGTCATAAAGACCTACTAGAAATTCACAGGTGCAATGAACCTGTAAATATTGTACATAGTGTCTGTCTACCTTTAACCTCTACTCTACTTTTAACCTTTGCCCCTTGCCCCTGCAGGTTAGAGTTCAACGTAGTAGAGCTGGCAGACAGGATGGGGTGGGACCTGGAGCCTGTCAGGAGAGACATCCGAGGACTCAAGTGGAAGAGGACAAACACAGGAGGTACAGTATGTGGGGAAATGCCTTTCATGGTTGGACATGGTTGTGGGGTCTTGTGGCGTAACGGCAGAGCGATCGGCTTGGAACCAAGGCAAGAGGTCCTGGGTTCGAACCCTGCCATGTCACCAATCTTGTGCCCTTGGAAATGGCAGTTTACACTACTTCCCTGGATTGAGGCCTGGCGAACCCCATCTCATATTAGCCACAAAAAGCGAGTAGAATCTTCAGCTAGTTGAAGGCGGCTGCCTTGAAATGAAAGAAGAAGACAGACGGCAGATGAATTCTCTTAGCTAAGGGGGCTGCAGTTTTGTCCAAAATTGATAGGGGTCTCTTCTACACCACTGCAGGTTACCAGCGGACGGGCCTGCTGGTGGATTTCACCGATGTGTCATTCCTTCTGCGGGCGCCGGGTGACCTTTCGGACGATGACCTTGAGGAGGTGTCGGATTTCCTGTACAGCCGAGTTGAGTCCCAGGAACGAACCGAGCTGCGGCAGATCAGGGCCGTGTTCGACGCACTGACAGAGTGAGATGTCTTCTTGTTTTGTTTACTTTTTCAGAAGGAAAAGATGTTGTATTTGCTACGTTTCTTCTTCCATTTGCTCTTTTACCATGCCAAATAAATCAGGTCAATAACCTGGACCAGACGGCTGTCACCATGGTAACTGGTACTGTAGCAGATACCCAGTGGTGTCGGATTACATTATGAAACGATAGGTAAAATGGCAGTGCCCATCTCCATTTCTTCGGTTACTACGATTCTGTAAAAATGCCAGCTCAATTTGGGTTATTCTCTTAGTACTACTCTGCAATGTGGTGCAATGAATATGCTCCAGTTCAACAGGATATAGGGTTTTTCTTTCACACAACCAATATTGTCTCTTGCCTTGCTTATGTTTCTGTGTCTATCAGACACCTTCCTCAGAGCTTCTGACTGGAGTTCTGCTTCTTGCTGCTATATGTAGCAAGGTAAGAGACAATATCGGTTGTGTAAAGCAAAAACCCCTATATTCTATACTCTACCAACCTGATGAAATTACTTTCGAATTCAAGTTCAACACTTTTTCCCGTTTCCAAGAGTGTCCCACGATGAGTTCTGGGCATGTGCGGAGGAGGTGGACCAGACTCGCAGCGAACAGCTCAAGACGACTCTCAGGGAGTACTTTGAGAAGCAGCCGGCACAAAACACGTCCTCAGACTCCTGCGCTGAGGAGGAGGAGGAACAGGTGAGACTGCAACAGGTCTGGTTCTTTGGAGGGAGAGTTGACAATGATCCTAGCCTCTACCAGGCTTCAGGAGGTGACTGGAAAGAGTAGAAATTGGTCAAATAGAGAGATAACATGCCAGGGGAGTTGGTCCACTGGAGAGTACAATTGGCCAATTTCTACATGTACTTACATATGGTTAGATATGGTTAGACATTACAGTTACATAATGTGAAGATACCAGTTCTATTGTACACTTGTATTTAACTAAAAGAGAATTTTTGTTGTATTAAAACCTTTGTTGTATTACGCAATGTACTTGTTTGAAATTTTGAATCTAAAGAATTTCAATCTCTGAAGAGAGACGTTGAGGTTTTTTATTTCAACTAGGTTTTGCTTAATTAATCTATGTTGTGCTACTTAATTTCTTTTGTACCCTGAATCTTTTTTTCTCAGTCTCAGGTGCCGTTGAAGAACGAGGCCCAGGTGCGGTCAGACATCCGCAGCTTCGTGTGTCTGCATCACGACAGGACCTTCACCGGCCGAGCTGTCGCAAGGGTGTTTCACGGCATCACCAGCCCCTGCTATCCTGCACAGGTGAGAAACTTTCTCTTATCCTGCACCTTTTCTTCCCCCGCACAGGTGAGAGATTCACAGGTGTTCTTAAAGGTCAAGGTAGTCCTATAGACTTGAGGCTGTAGAGGCAGTGGGTTGTTAGTCCACTGTGTCACAGTATTGGAAGGTGGAGCCCATCCGTAATCCACTGTCTTTTACCTCCCCAACTCACCTTGGTAGTCATGTAAAGTGCCTGTGCTAAGCACAGTGCCTAGTCAGGAATGCAATGGATCAAACCGTCGTAGATGTGACCATTGTGTTTTTTACCTGTCCACCTGTCCAGGTGTAGGGATTTTGTTGTTTGTTACCTGTTGCGGTACACTGTATATATTTGACCGTTCTGTGTTTGTGTCCAGGCATGGGGATATTTACCTATTTGTTACCTGTTGAGGTACACTATATATTTGACCGTTCTATGTTTGTTACTTGTCTGTAGGTTTGAGGATTTTTACCTGTTTCTTACAATGTACCTGTTGAGGTACACTGTATATATTTGACTGTTGTGTGTTCGTGTCCAGGTGTGGGGATTTTTACCTGTTTGTTACCTGTCCACAGGTGTGGGGTCGTGACCGTCGGTTCTGGCGCAGCCACCTGGACGTGGACTTCAACCAGCTGCGGAGGCTGGCGGTGGAGGAACTGGTCAGGATCAGGATGTGAGGAACATGGAGATGTGCTGTGACTTATAGGACGGGTGTTTTAAAGATTCAAAACAATGTGCTATGTCTTGAAACTTGATTTGAATATCAACCATTAAGATCAGCTACATCTACATACCTACATCTCAAAGGAGTGAAATACATGTACGATACTCATCAAGTCAGAGAAGCTTCTTTCTATTGTTCCGTCTATTTTGAATTTTGTTTGGTGTCACAGATGAGATTCTGAACAGTTTGGACTTTCATTTTTGTACTCATCTGTACTCAGATATGGAAACTCAGGGAACTATTTTATACTTGTTTCTATTTAGTCCGGTATACACCAAAAGAGATGTGCATTGTGTGCAATAGAAACATGTCCAATTTGTACATACTTACTAACAATGCACTTTTCACTCATTATAAGTGTAAATTGTAGCATTGTAAACGGTTGTTGATACTATATGTTGCAAAGATAGTTTGAGGGAATTTTTTGTAAAAATTTGTACAGGCAAGTCTACATTTCTCTAGTGTGTAAATAGATGTTATACTTTTAGCTTTTACTCCACTTTGAACAAAGAAAATAAACAATGGTTGTACACTATTTGGGGTAAGTATCATCATTTTATATTTAGGTATATATTTCTGGTTCCGGCCATTTAAGTAAAATAGATACTAAAAGCGAAAGAAATCGTTACAGTAATATGTTATATGACCCTTTCTTCGTGTGCAAGTATTTTATGTATATTAATGTCTGCCTCCAAGTTAAGGGAACAGAATAAGATATGCAAATAAATAAATAAAGCAAACAAGACTAATTAAAGCCAGAGACCTTCTTAATATGTTGTGACATTTTATTCCCAAATTCATATTCGAAAATAATTCATGTGAAAAATTATGCTAATAACAGAATATTGAGATTCTGACCTGAAAAAACGTTCACAGTACATCTTGTTTAGAGACACCTGTTAGAAACTTACTTTGTGTGATTCTAAGAACTCTTATGTCTTCGGTATTGGCAAGAATGTGAGCAGTGTGATACATACAGAGGTAGTCACAGTGTTGGGTTTGGTGCAGTGTACATGTACATATTCCACAAAACTGTAGTCTTCATTCTATGATGTTATGTTTTACTTTACGGAAAGAAATCGACATCTTTTGTCTGGGATGCTCCAGGAAAAAATAACAACAGGGCAAAATAACATTGTATAAAATAAATCGGCACGGGTTCTCTCTTCTAGAGCTTTCAACCAGTCACTCTGGTCTTCCACAGTAGACTGACCAAGTGTTGACGTCACACTTCAAAGAAGCCACGTGACAAACCTCACTGGGTCAGTCTACTGAGGAAGACCAGAGTGACTGGTCAAAAGCTCTAGGTGAGAGAACTTTTTGTGTTGGACCTAAAACATGTAACTACCAACATAGATGAACCTTCATGATAACTTAGCAAGGGATTTCTTGTCTCCCTTTTTCTACATTTCTCCCTGAAGTAGCCCAAAATGTCTTTCAGAAAGTGATGTTCGTAAGAATATCCTAACAGATGTGTCTAAAGAAGCTGTACCTTAAGCACCAGTGGCCTATAAGAACATTGTGGAGAAGTTACTGTTAGGTCTTACTAAGACAATTTCTTTGCATAAGTTTTTCTCCACATATTGAGGCCATGAATGTAGACTGATATGTCATCTGGGGCACACAAAAATTAGTTAGTTGTTTCTCATATTCATTATTCTATTGATAATTTGATGGCTTTCTTTGCACATTTTTAAATGTCAGTTTCAACATTTTCTGGAAGAAATCCAAGAAACAACTAACTAAACTCGTGTGGCCCCTCTTGAACACTGATAGAGGTCTGTGCCTGTGAACCCAGATGTTTTGACAATATTTTTTTTCTTGGACCTTACAAGAAATGAAACTCAGCATTTTTAACCATGTGAATCTGACCATTATACTATATGGCTTTCTATCCATAATTACTGACTACAGACCTGTAAAAGAACATTTTTCCTTGAGTGTTAATGTCTATGACATTAGAAATGGCTAAGAAAATGGACTGCAGATATATGTCACTACTAGTACCTTTAAGTTACTAAATGGATGGCTGAACATTGTGAAAAACTATAGATTCTGGGTTCACAGAACACATTTGTTCATTTCTTTGCTCGAACCAAACAACCGAAATGGTAAAAAATACACATCTACCCCTAAATCGATTTAAAAAAAAAAAGAAATTTCCTATGACATAAGAGTTGGTGCAAAAAAAATTAATAATAACAATAATGATAACCATTTTTCCAATGCCTACTAACAGTCACCATTCCCTGTATAGTAAATAATACACAGTAGCACCAGGTATCAGTTATTTTACACATACACTTGAGTCTGTACAATATTATTGTGTGAGGCCATTTCTACAGCACCTGGGCCTAGGGGAGTCCTCTGTATAACTCTGCTCAATACTGGCAAGAAATGTCTGGCTGGTTTGCATTACTGGAAATGCTGAAACTTTCAGGGTGGCTTTACTTTTATGAAGACCCTTCCACTGCTAATTTTTGAATTGTATGACTTCATAATTGTTTTACAGTACTCCACTATCGAATTGTTTTGACTGGAAATTTAAAACACTGTGAAAACCTTTTTCCTCCTACTACTGTAAAGTAAAACCACCGTGAAGTTGATTAAATGCATTTTCAGTACCTGCTAGCAGTGAACATGTTAACAGTAAGTATCAAAATGTACCAAAGAGTGAAAACGTTGATACAATATCAAGCTTACTTGTTGAGAACAGCTAGGGCAATTTCACAGGCACAATAGACCTGTAAATACTGTACATACTATAGTGTCTGTCTTCTGTTAAGACCAGTGGAAGAGTAGCTCTTAAGTGAGCTAAAACTGGATCAAAACCTAGGGGAATTTCCCAGGTACAATGAACCTGTAAATACTGTACATATCATCTGTCTTCTCTGTTACGACCAGTGGCAGAGTAGCTCTTCAGTGAGCTAATCTGGATCAAGAGCTACATGTAGGGGATTTTCCCAGGTACAATAAACCTGTAAATACTGTACAAAGCATCTGCACATGTCTATTACGACTAGTGGAAAATTAGCTCTTCAGTGAGCTAAAACTTGAGAGCAGCAGAGTTGGAGGACTCCCCTTTTGGGCCGGACGTGACTAAACCTGACGTTACCCTGTCTGACCAGCAACACAAAAGCTGACGTTAAAAATATGTACATCTGCCTGCGACAAAAAACTTCAGGGGGCTGCAAGGATTTCACATCTCTCATATAGAAAAGGAATAAGTCATACTTTCTAGTATAACACATGTTTTAAGTTAAAACTTTTGGACCAGTCACTCTGGTCTTCCTCAGTAGACTGACCCAGTGAGGCTTGTCACGTGGCTTCTTCTAGCCTCACTGGGTCAGTCTACTGAAGAAGACCAGAGTGACTGGTCGAAAGCTCTAGGTGAGAGAACTTTTTTGTGTTGGACCAAAAGTTATAACTTTAGATATGTAACTACCAACACAGATGAACTTTCATGATAATATAAACATATTCTGTTTTCGATAATATCGGTAATATCATCTGATTCAATTTGAATGATAATTTCTAAAATAATTTCTAAACAACACGACATTGACCTGTAATGATATCTACATAGTCCTTCAAAACGGGTATCACATCAGAGTTTTCGGAACGCGGTGAGAGACCTTTGCAGCTCCCCTGAGGTAGCGAATATTGGACACAAGTGTTAGATTCTGCAGTGACTATTATACAGTAAACTTTTACATCCCATAATACTCTGTACAGGTGAAGCTATCTACGGCAATTCCGTGGTTGGGCGGGGAAGACAATTGACTGCGACATTTTTTTTGTTCAGCCCGTTCAACAATTATGAGACCTGTGTTGGTACAAGTCATTATGAAATAAAGACTAAGCTTCAACTTCTAACACTAACTACAAAGAGTTGAGGCTGGCCTGCCCTAAATTTTTGGTTGACTCCATCAACCTTGTTCACGGAATGGACCCGTCTACTCTTGGAACTTATGGCCTGCGCATGCTACTACCGTCACGTGTCTCTGACGTCACGTTCCAAGAGTAGACGGGTCTATTCCGTGAACAAGGTTGATGGAGTCAACCGAAAATTTAGGACAAGCCGCAATTCTTTGTACATGTAGTTAGTGTTGGAAGTTAAAGCTTAGTCTTTAATTACGAAACCTGTCAGTTTGAATATAGCAGCGACATTGTAGAACAAAAGTGTATGTAGCAAACGTAAACTGGTCACTGAAATCGGAAAGCCCTTGACAGAATTTTACAATCAAATATTAGTTTATATAAAATATATGGTATGACAGGAACTTACAATATTACTATGTGGAGATGCATGGTCTTAGAAATGGCATTTTAAATTAAATGTTAGGCTTACAATACATTCAGCACCAATGAAATTTGATAGAACTTTCCAACTTTCATGTGACCAATTTTATGTTTAATTTGATTTTAAGTTTTATAATATATTGGAAACTTTATTAAGTTATTATATAGAGTCACAGTGCTGAACAATGAACGTTACATCAAATGTCTGCCCCGCAAGCTTTCATATCCACAAATCTATATAATATATGAAAATATAACTTCTCTGGCACAATAAATACAAATGATCAAGGTGGACAATAATATTTCCAAGTAAAATGCCAAAAATTAGGCAAGAAGGAAACTTTCAATTTCAGAGAGTATGACGTCATCTTTCACACCCTCTGTACAATATGTATCCCTGTTCTTTACAGTTCTACTTATATAATAAGTCATTAAGGATTCCCCAGGTGTTTTATTTGTTACACCTGTCTATACAATGTGAGATCACTTCTTCAAGACGTCTCCAAGAAGGTGTTGTTTCTTGGCTTTCTTGGCCAGCTCTGTCAAGGTTACTACTCGAGTATTTCCTTGCCTTGCGTCACAAAACTTGACCCAGACAGGGTTCAGAGGGTATGTTGCAAGAAAAAGCAACTTTTTCCCACGTAAATGTTCTTCTGAAGCCCGTCTGGATCCTACAGTGTGAATTGAGTGGTCCCATACCAGTCTTATGGTCCTCTCTTGTGTGCCACAACCTTGCATAGGTTTGGTCTTGCATCCAGTTTTCGATCGTTTCTCTCCCTGGATGATATTCCAACGCGCCCGCACAAGTTGGCAAGTCAAGAAGCTGATCTCGAGTCCTCCTACGTCTTCAAGTCCCACTTGGAATTTTCTTGGTTCAGCAGCAAAACGTTTGGAATTCTTATAAGGTACAAGTCATCAGGGAGAATGTCCTCCGAAATTGTCCTTGTAAAAGTAAAAAAAAAATCTACAATCTCATCATTGTCTGTGATTATTTCACTGCCTTTTCAAAAACGAGTCATAAAAAAATCTACCGACGATAACACTGCGCTTAGAGTCTTGCAGTTGACATTTGCAAGGAGTTGGCTTGGCTGTTCTATTTAGTTTAGATCTTTCCACCATCCAGAAATACATTTAATGGCAAGTTCTTTGAGCACCTCTGCTACTACTGGAGATGTAATGCTGATGTTGTATTCAAAACTGCACCAGATTTAAGACATCCATGCTGAAGACTTTTCTTTTGCTTGTAGTGCAGCTTGTAGGTAAATCCTGGAGAGATCTGTCATTGCAAAACTGTTCCATCCACGTTGTAGAGGGATTCACCTCTTCTACCGTTGGACAGTTTGTGTTGACGATTGACTTTCTGTTGCTTGAACTACAGTGTGTTTGCAATCCAGGATTGCTTGCTTGTTTTAATCTGCTGCTTTGCTATTACATTGATGCCATAAAAAGATCCGTATGTTTGAAGATTCCTGTTTTGTATTTGTCACAGTTTGTTTGTACTGTAAATCCAGGTTTCCTTGGTGATATTGCTTTTCTGGTGATGCGTATTTCGTGTGAATGAATATTTGACTGCTGTTTGGAGTACAGTTTGTAAATCCAGGAATCCTTGGAAAGTTTGGAGTTTGAGTTGGAAGTTTGTATGCAGAAACTCCCACGCTGTATAAGAAGTGTTTCCTTCCTCCGCAGCCCAGTGTTGATGAATTTTGGAGTTGACTGTCGTTTGAAGTACAGTTTGTATATATGTAGGTCCAGCCAAAGTTGCAGCAGAAAAGGCTGACATTAATGAATTTCCAACTCTTCTGGTGGTACACATTTCATTATAACGAAGTTTCCTGCTGTTTGGAGTTAGGTTTGTTTGTAGATCCATCCTATGCAGAAACTCAGTGTTGATGAATTTTGGAGTTGACAGTTGTTTCAAGTACATGTAGGTCCTGTCTGTCTTGTAGCAGAAAGTTCTCTTCTCCCAGCAGTCCAGTGTTACCGGTGAATCTGTTTTGTATGAACGTTAAGATCCTGTCTCTTGTAGCAGAAGTGTTCCCTTCCCCCACCGCCCAGTGCTGTATATCATTATGTTGATGAATTTTGGAGTTGACTTGTTTGTAGTACATGTAGATCCTGTCTCTTGTAGCAGAAGTGTTCCCCGCCCAGCAGTGTTACACAGCCCAGTGCTGTATATCATCATGTTGATGAATTTTGGAGTTGACTGTTGTTCTGTAGATCCTGTCTCTTGTAGCAGAAGTGTTCCCCTCCCAGCCGCCCAGAGTTATCGTCGAGTGTGTGCGGTCCTTAACGTCTGCGTCAGCTGGCCTGCTCCTGTGTGTGTTTTCTGCAGGACTTGCAGCACTTCTGCCCGTAGAAGCTGTGATCGCAGACATTGTGCTGCGGAACCAGGTGGCACCACCGGAACGCGTCCTGGCAGCTGCTGTCATCCTCTGTAAAAAAAAAAAACATTTTTACCTTTAACACACTGAGGTAGAAGCTTGGTACCAATTCTCTATTGGTTATAGCAGCAGGGAGAAGGTACGAAAACGTCTGAAAACATTGTATAAAGTTACTGCTAGATAAAAGAAAAGAAACAAAGAAAGAAAGAAAGGAGGGCAGGAAAAGCACCACATTTTAACCTTGAAGTAGCTGTTTGGCTACCAAGTCTCTATTGGTTAAGGAGTTAGGAGGGGGAAGGTTTAAAAAGTTGCCGCCGCCATCCTCTGAAAAACACAGTCACATTTAAAAAAACTGTTCAATTTAAGAACACTTGTAAAGCTACATGTAAAGTTGCTGCAAGATAAAAGACAGAAAAAAAAACACAATTACACGTCTAACCTTTAACAAAGAACAGGTAAAACTACAAATGTACACCTTCTGGACAGGTAAACACCTGACTTTGGATATACATTGTATAACCTTTATCAATGGTCAGGTAAAACTCTTTTGTCTTAAGGACAACTCCAATGGATTTTTGCAATTTCAAGCATCTTTCACACTCTTAAAAATCCTTTTGTTATATCTCTTATACATGTAAAAAGGAACAGAATTCCCCCTTACAGATTTAAGAATAGTCCTGAACCATCACTGTTGCGACTCCTGAACACTACTAAATGAGTTGTAAGAAGTTGAGACTGGCTTATGCAAACAAGACATAAGCAAACGTAGTACAAGTAGTTATGTATAGAAATGTGTTATATTTTAATGTTTTATTTTGTACTGTTAAGGCTTTTTATTGTGAAATGTACATGTATACAGAAGAAATAATTAAGGCCATGGCTGCAATGCCTTTTTAACTAATGAACCAGTTTGATTGATCGATTGACTGACTTACCCTCTTCAGGACATGGGTCGAGGTTGCACTGCCTGGATGTGGGGGGTTTGGACTTGTCCGGGCAGCCGTTGGCCCGACTCCCGCGGCTGGCGTCGATGCAGTGCACAAGTCTCTGCTGCAGACCGCCTCCACACTCCTTAGAACACTGCAGAGGGAAACAACAGTCAGTCTACTCAAGGCATGATCAAGCTGGTATGTTACACCATACAGATAGTGGTAGATGTGCTTATCTATACTGACTGTAAGGAAAGACAACTCAGATGGGGAAAATTATCTAAAATATTCCTTATGCAGAGGTGGTCTTTTGTACAGGATTGACTGTATACAAATATGTATGTACAATTTTATATCCATCAAGAAAAGTAATGCTATGCTGTCTGAAAATCTACCGTGCTGTCATTGAAATCCCATTTAGCAGTTCAGTAATTGTAACTCTAAGAATTCTACTAGGTAAAGCAACGTTGAACATTTCTATATTTTGCTCTTGTGCTGTACACTAAATGTCAAAATGATTATATTGTCTAACTCCATTCACCAGCATGCAAAGGCACGACAGAGTTAATTATAACTTTGTGGTTAGATCCAACTTTACACAAACTCAAGATGCTGTAATGTACATAATGCACAATGCCAAGATCGTACAGTCACCCCAAACGGAACATGCGTTGTGTACATAATGCACAAGCCAAGTCTGTAACACTCACGACCCCAAACAGAACATGCGTACCGTGGACCACTTCCCCGTGTACCACTTGGGCATGGTTTCCATCGTCCGGTTCTTGGGGCATTTCGGCTTCACGCACTTTTCCTCGAGCTGTACGGGCGGACGTTTCAAGTGCGAGCATCGCCGCTCTGGGAACTGGCGGTACCAGCCGTTCGAATCCTTGGTGGCGCACTTGAGCAAACGCTTGCGAACTCCCTCACCACACGAAACCGAGCACTGCAGGAGACATATACAGAAGGGAGGGGAGGGGGGTTGGTTAGCCAACGATGCTCTCTGTCATGCTGATCTGTTTCAGTTCTGTTTTTTCCAGTAGATCCTTGCTCTCCTGTACTCAAGTTGTTCAAGCTGACAACAGTTACAGTTACTTTATTAGCTTAGCAGCCATGCAACTTTGTCAAAAGTTTGCTGTATCACTGAACAAATTGTATTTAGCCTTCATTAACATTCGTTGACAAACATGGGTGCATTTCAAAGTTAGCAGTTACCAAGGGAAGTTACGAATGCATGCAGGCTTTAAATCCAAACTCCATGCTTCACAATGCAAGGTGTAATCATACTGATGTGTAACAAACTTCACTGATTTTTACTCAAACTTCTCCCTGCCTAACCCTGTGACCAGTCAAGATCTGGCAGGCCTTTGCAGGAGGAAGAGGGTCAAGGCCATATCAATTCAATTTCTTGGTTCTCAGATTTAAAAAAAAAATGCTAAAACTGCAATATTAACATGAAAACAGACCCAGTCCTCTGTTTTCACGATATCCTCTTTCTGAAATTCTACACAAAGAAATCTAAGAACCAAAAAACTAAACTTGTTCAGCCTTAAGGCAATTCTTACCTGACTCCATGCGGATATGAACCACATCATCTTGCGAGTGCACTTCTTGGAGCAGTGCTGCCTGATCTTGGGCTTCATCTGGTACTTGCAGAGGGAGTCTGGCATGATGACGTACGACCCGTCCTGGCGCATGCTCTTACACTCCACCTCACGCGTCTGGAAACCGTGCCCACACTTCTTCGAGCACTAGAAAAGGAAAAAAACTTGAAGGTTAACATTTGTAACATGTAAATAATGTCTAATAATTAATAAATAATGTGTACCTCAAAAAGTCTAGCCTAACAAAACTGCTGTTAACTGAAGTATTCTGACTCAAGTACAGTTTGATATACATGTGTATGGTGACCAGCCCCTCTAACTGTTATGACACTTGCTACATAATGTAACCCAACACCACAGGGTGTCTGCAACAGCACTAGTTACCATGTTGACATCTGTCTGATACAGGTCATTGACCTTATTTTTTTTTAAACAGAGAAGCAAAAACAACATGTTTTGCTATAAAACACAATGGATAAGCGGATATAGTAAGCTCAAATATTGTTAAAATGTCAAGAAGCATTTTGGCAGATTTATTGTTTGCAAACTTTTGACTCTGCAAGTTTGTCTGCATACATGCAGTTCCCGACCAAACTGCTAGATGGCAGCACTGCACTGCGCAGCATATATACCTGGCTCCAGTCCCCAGCCACCCACTGTGGCGGGCACTCCTGCATGTTGCAGTTCCTCTCGGCGTACGGCTTCGGCTGGTCCCGGCAGCCGTCGGGGTCGACCGGCTCCTGGTCCTGGGTGGAGGTTTTCCGCGTGCAGTTCACCGGCCGCGTCTGTTTGCCGCCGCCGCACGACTTGTTACACACGCCCCACTCTCCTGCTATCCAGCTGTAAGGGGGAAATGACAAGTTTTAAGTAGTGGTAACAGGTTTGAAATACAGTTTTCTCTGTATCATAATACAAAATAGATTACAAACAACTGGATAGATTCCCTGACAAGTCAGATTTTTCAGACGGCTAACTCTAAAAAGTTAAACATTTCTGAGAAGAATAGTAGATGAGGATGATTGAGGAGACCTGGACTACTACAGGCAAGGAGATTGAATTTAAAGCTCCTTGGTACAAGTATATTCAATTCATTTGCTTCTCTGTCTCACATAATAACAGCCAAGACATTTGTGTGGAGACGACCTTTTAATTTGATGCAATCAGCATATCACCTGTTTTGTTTCTCCCTCCATTGTAAATTAACAAAAAAGTAAACAAAAGTACATACCGTGGAGGACAGGGGTCCATGTTGCACTGGTGGGTGCCCGTGCTCGGTTTGGTCGTCTGGTCGCAGAACGAATCGTCCACCTGACGAGACAGGTCCCACAGACACTGTGCCGTCGTCACAAGGGTGCCTGAAATCAACAAAACAAACAAACAAACCTGGTTAGCATTAGTATCATTTAATGTCTTGGGGGGTTGGGACTTTGAACAAAAGTCGTACCTTGATGCTTGTCAATATTCATACCTTTATACATGTAAACTTGTGAGCTCCAACATGTTCATTGTAAAAAAGGGGGGGAGGAATCCTGCACTTCCAGAAAAACGTGATAGGTGCCCTCAGTGTGTTCGAAGATATTTTAGGATGAAGTGCTGTTTCCTTATGCTGGAGTGTTACATAAAATGTGAAATTAAGACAAGAAAGGCAATCCACTAAGAAGAAATGAAGACTACAATGTAGAAAAATTTCCCTTAAACCTTTTTGTTTTCACGACAACATGATTCTCTCGTAAACCTAATCTATACCAAGAACCTCAGAAGAGAGCTGCAGAAACCTTGCCATGGGTGATTGGCAGCTAGCTGCCCTTGTTTACCCACGATGCCACTGTTTACCCATAAACCCCTGACCGACCCCTGACCCCTCCAGGTGAGGAGACCAGGTGGGGCGACACATTCCTGCAGGACGTAGTAATTTGTTGCTCCTGTGACCCGAACCCCCCCATGCACGGTCCTCTGTTTTGTCTGTGATCACTGAGGCAGGGATAGCACTGAACTGCGCTTGGGCCACACCTAGTCAATTTGTTGGTTCTTGGGTCTAAAAAGATTCTGGAATACCAACATGAGAACAGAGTGTGAGGGAAAGGTTTGTGCCTTTGTTGTATCCAGAACTGAACTTTATCCAGAGCCATGCTCAAGCAATGTATCCAGAACCGTGCCTCGGCAAATCTATGTTCTTGGATATGCCAAGACTATCCTGAACTGCGCTCAATCATACAATCCTAACCCTTTCAGGCATACATGTAGAACAAGATAGGCACAGTTCTGGATGCAATAGCCTCTTGGAACACACAGTTTCATGAGAGAATGTAGTCAAGACTGATTCAAGTTTTCCTCCCAGCCCTCTGGTATCATATTGTTTGATCTTTACATTAAAATGAGTAATTACCAAGGAAGTGACTTGGTTCTGCCCTACCCACCACATGCCCTTGCTGTCTGTACCCTCTGCATGGGGGGTTCCCTCTACAAAAAAAGTTCCTAAACTATGACATCATCTGTGTTTCTGTCAATGGGTATGATTTCCCCATACACATCCACGACCAGACCAGCGTTTTGTCCACAGGAGAACAGAAAGGCAGTCTGAAGTGCTTTAAGCTTTTCATCTGTTGTGGGATACACAACACAAGCCTCTATACTACCCATGGGGTTTCCCTCAGTGTATAAAAAAAAAAGTTCCTAAACATGACATCACTTGTGTCTCTATTACTTTCTTTAGAGGAACTTTGCCCAGTGCGTTGTCAAAAGACTATTTCTGGGCAATGAACTAAGCTTGGGTTTAATATGGGAATATAACAGCAACTTCCTTCAATTTTTTCGTGGGAAGTAAGAATTGTGACATATTTGAATAGGAGTAAAAGTTTCGAGATTCTCTAGGTAAGAGTAATTGTCAACTTCAGGTGTTAAAGCCCTCCCGCATCCATCATCATGGTCGCATATGGTGGCGCCCATCTCCGTTTCGTAGCCCTTGGGCCACACAATCGTGCAGTCACTACAGCAGGGGGCTAGTCCACTGGTAGTGGTGTGTGTTTGACTCCCATACTCTTTCTCAAATGCTGAGTGCTAAGCAGAGAAAGCTGTATGTACCATTTTTAAAGTCTTTGGTATGACTCGGCTGGTGCTCTGTACCAACTTGGTCATTGCAATATCAGGTGTGGCTGTGGCACATACAATCGAGTTAGCGTGGCCTTAAGTTATATACACAAGGAGACAAGGTGTTGTCTTTTCTCCAGACGTCTTCAAGTTGCGACCTTCTGAAGTGATGCAGGTGCTTCTTGAGTAGCAGCTAAGGAAACCCTCTCGGCACTTAAAGACACAGACCTGTCTCTCTCTCTCGAGGGGTGCACTTCTAAGTGATACACTGTCTTCAAAGTCAGTTCAAAGGAGGCTGAAACGTAAACTGAAGTGCAGTGGTAGTATAAACTGTCTGGTAGGTCTGCCCTTCTACGTGCTAGCAGGTTCACATGAGGAAGTTTGGATTTTCCCGGGCTCAATGTAGTCACTCGGACATGTCAGCAGAACGTACTGCACCTGCGCTAAACCTGTAATGCATTATGCATAGCACTTGGGCAGAACGTCTCATATAATGTTGTATTCGTGTATATAAGGTTAACATCCCGTCTGTAGTTTCTAAATGTTATGACGGAAAAGATAGTCTATCTACAACGGGCAAAATTCTGATGCAACGGTGAACAAAAATCTTATGAAAACCGTGAAAAATCAGGGTGCGGTACGTTCTGTCAATGTCCAGTCACTTATACTTATAAATGTCACATGTGGACAATTGGCTTAGGCCATTTGTTAGTTCTTATAGAAGTGTGAGGGGAAGGTCTGTACCTTACTGGTACCCACACTTTCGAATTTCAATGAGTGGCTATATATATAAACAGACTATTTAGAGATATTCCATCCCTCTGATGTCACCATGACCTCTTTCTAAATATTTACTGGCTGAGAACCTAGGAAATAATTTAAAGTGGCCTACAAGATGAATGATTTTGCCTGCCAGCCTCTTTCTGCCTTCAGAGCCACCGGCTAGAGTTTGCCTCCTCATTTTCAAACTAACGAAAACAAGGTCTAAACTTAGCTAATGGTGTTTAAATATTGGACAACAAGAACAACACCCAAATTAAAGGACCCTCCTTGCTTCTTCTATCAACTGCTTTAGAAAAGATTTACAGACCAAACTTTGAAAAAAAAAAAGGATTGAATGAAGAAATCAAACTCTTCCATCAATTTTTCAGCTTCTTTTGGGCAGTCAGTCTTTGTACAAAAATTTTAGATGAACTAAGTATATATATATTTGACGTAGAGATTAGAATCTAGCTTATTTTTTTAGACAGTTTTTTTAATAAACAATTTTCTTAATAATAACGTGATTGCACAACAATTGTACAGGGTTTCTTTTGTTGTCTTTAGGCAAGAATTTGAAATCAACTTTTATGTAGAGATTGAACTCTAGAATTTTACTTGCCCTAACTTTATACTCTGTTTTTGCATGCCATTGGGCGATTTTCTCTGTATATAGAATTTGCTGAGAAAATTGTCCTTTTGTCCAGTGAGCCCATCTGTAGCACATGTCGGGTCAGTGCTCGGTGTTTGCCTGTGAAAGCAAATGTACAACGTTGGGCACAAACATTAACAGTGGGGTGACGCCGTTTGCCACTTCCTGTAGGGTAAAACAGGAGCTGGGCAGATGGATGCTTATAACCACATTTAGCCAAGTCAGCAGTTTTCAACTTTTACTTTTCACCCCAGCTGCCGCCATGCCACGTGCCTGTGAAGCTGGTGTGTTGTGCTGATCGATGAAGGGCAGTTATACTGCCTAGACACAGATACAGATCCTTAAAGTTGATGAGACTAGTTCATATTGTGTACTAGACAGTAGTTCATAATCATATGTGTACTCTTTTACTTTTCTTTGACACAGTACATGCAATTAGTCTTAGATGGGTATGATTTTGCAAACTGAAGTTCATATGGATATTATATATCTCATCCGTAGTTTCCAAATGTTATGGAAAAGATATCCTCTGCAACAGGCAAAATTCTAATGCAACATTGATAAAAAATCCAACGAAAACAATAAAAAATCAGGGTTCTGCGTAGGCACAGTATGTGCTTGTTTCCTCATCTCTACATGTACATCTTACGAGTTACCAGGTAACAACATACCCCAGATTCTTGCCTTGTTTGCCCCAATTTGTCAGCTGTCCTTACCGAGACACGGAAACGAAACACGAGACTTTCCCGTCTGAAAGGTGGGCAAGGTGTTCACCTATTCTCAGGACAGGTGTTCTCTACAGGTGAGCACACCTGGGCAAACACTTTCCCTTTCTTTCTCCTTAGAGACTTGACATTAATTTCTTGGTATGTGAAGGAAACCATACCTCAATTCCAAGGATTTTATTTTATTTCATTTGAAACTTTTCTTTCTTCTTCTTTTAAAGGTTATGAAGTCATGAAATGTCCGGCGTACTGTGTTGGGCGTCCGTTGCGCCCAGGACAGGTGCCTGCATTCCTTCCTGTTGCCACAACACCATCGGACGACAGATTAACTGTTTCTTTTCTTTGGGCACAAAGACATCCACGAGACACTTCCTTTAAGGAACTGGCCGGGAGACTTGAGACGATCCTTGTCTGGGACAAATGACCGTAAGTTTACAAAACAGGAATTAAGGAACATTTAGAAAAACTACTTCAGGAAGATAAAGGAAGAGATTTGTACAAATGAATTGTGTTGTGGGAGGGGGGCACTGATCACTTTGACCCTCTGACCTTGTGTTTTGTGGAAAAGGCCAAGTGAAGGGCATGTCAAGAAGATTTGAACTTGGAAATCTCAGAGTTTCTTCTTTTTCACAATGTATTTGTATTACTTTTGAGCATTCTTTCAGTGTGGAGCTCGAGACAAGAAAATTCAAATGTAAATTTTACACCCTGAAATCTAGCAAAATTCAAGGAAAAAAGGAATTATAAATGTCCTCATGATGCTAAAAATTTTTCCAGTAATAGTTACTGAGTATCTGAGCCCACAGAAATACTGAAGAAAGCAAGACAGTCTAGATCTGTCCTGTCAGAGAAGGGTTAGTCATGGCCACTCACTACTGGGAAATTCAAGTCAACTTAGATCTGTCCTGTCTACTGAGGAAGATGAGAGTGACTGGTCGAAATCTCTAGGTGAGAGAATTTCTTTGTGTTGGATCAAAAGTTGTCTCACAAATACTGGAGGTGAGTCTGTCCTGAGTTAGAAAAGGGAAAAGTCAGAGCCGCTCACGTTACGGGCAGCCGCCTGACAGGAAAAGCAAACACTGCTCGCCTTTCTGTGAACAATACTCCTGTTTGGGGCAAACTCAGCAGCCCACAACAAACACGGACACATGGCAGGGGGGTGGGGTTACCTAGGAGGGTTCTCCTGAGCTTAGGCCACACTAATTTACTGTAAATCAAATTCTATAAACTGTGACAAAATTTCACTGTGACAAAATTTCATGGCCTTAAAAAAATGGACATGTTTGTGAAACTGCAATGTGGTTTCTCCTGAGCTTAGGCCACACCAATTTACTGTAAATCAGCTTATATTCGCTGTGGCGAAATTTCGCAGCCTGAGAAAAATGGACATGTGCACAAAACTATTCTCTTTGGGCCACACCAATTTACTGTAAATCAGCTTATATTCGCTATGTGGCAATATTTTGCGGTCTTAGAAAAATGGACATGTTTTTGGAGCTATATGTTTTCGTTGGCGGCAGGTGCAGAAGAAAGAAAGTTGGCAAATTATTTGTTTCATGCTAATGCCAAAAAAACAGTTACTCAAGCAACTAGATAATATTATGATTTCCCAAAATAATATTCAGTTGCTTGAGTTTTCTGCCAATTCTCCCTCTTTTTTATTAAAAGATTTTTGCACACCTTTTTGAGCACATTTTTAACCAAACACGTCACCTTCCCTTGTATTTCACAGTCCATGTGCATGCACACTCGTCCCAATACCTTTTCTGACGCAAACCCTAAACAAAAAGCTTAGCAAATCTGTCCTTTTGCCAACCTTCAGTAGAATGGGCCTCACTTAAGCCGTGAAGAGGATCATTTGGTGGCCACAATCACGAGAACAGGTTCCACATTGTTCCCGCCCCCCACCCCGATTCTGTGTGAGTGCGTCCCCCTAAACACTAACCCACTCCCAGGGTGGTGACGGAAAATAAGAAAACACAACAACAGACAGGATTGTGGCTAATAATAATACTACAGGGCTCGAAATACATTCTGCATACCTACACTGGGTAACATTGAAACTTACTTGCACCGGACAAAATTTAGTAGCCTGGGTGCCATCCGATTTGTAACAGCATTTTTTTTGGAGTTGCCGTTACAAATCGGATGGCACCCTCTCTCTCGGATGGCACCCAGGCTAAAAATTTACCTGCACCATACAGAATTTAGACTGTATGGATGGATCACAATAAATACTGGTTGGAAACGATTGTTTCTTGTCATGTACCTCATACCATTATAATTAGGTAGTGACAGTCAATACAGCTAGCGCTAATGAAAATCCACATACACCTACATTTGTACATAAACCAGTACATGGACCAGTGCAGGTTTATTTTAGGTCCAGGTAGACATCAGAAATACCTGCACAGCTCCAATTTTACCTGCACTGAACCACATATTGTACAGGTCAGGTATTTCCAGCCTTGTATTGCTTTGTCAGAGGGACACAGTCGGGCTATTGTACAATTCTCCAAGACCGCACTTCGGAACGGCGTCCGAACAATCGGCACGCGTCGGCCAAACAGGTGACGACGGAGGCTGTGAACAGGTTTCTTCGCTAAATAATGACCTCTGAACCGGTCTGTTATGTAAATAAAGACCGGTTATAAAAACAGCTGACGTTTGGGCGGAGAAATGACCCTATAGGTTAATGGGGTGAAGTCAGTTAAAGACGTTTCGACAAAAGGTTTGGTCGGAGATGTTTTCGTTAAATCGCGCTTTTATATCCCACTTCCTGTGCCATTGTGCGATTTTGGTTTGTTCAAAAATTTGATATCAAAGTCATTGATTCGGGCAAGTCTTTAATTCACTATAAAACACTATATAACTAAGGACAATACAGCCTTGTAATTCTGGTCTATTTGAACAGGTGGTCACTGTAGACAGGATTCTTAATGCTTGAATGTGTCAGTGGGAAAAGTCATCTAAGGGACCACAAAAAGTGGACACACTGGCAATGTGGTCCCTATATCCATTTTGTTTTGTGTCCTTCGCCTCCTTGGTTGGAATAGCTACCCAAGTGTCTCCAAGATGAAATAAATGATAAATAAATACTAGATACTACCTGTACAGGTTTGGATGTTTTTGACCAATGAAGTGATGGACCAATAAATGATGGACCAATCAAGTGATTGACCAATTAAGTGATCCACCAAATAAGTGATAGACCAATGAAATGATCGACCAATGAAGTGATCGACCAATGAAGTGATCAACTAAAGAAGCAATTGACCAATAAAACTCACCTCCCCCGCACGACGCGGAACACTGCGAGGTGACAGCGCTCCAGGTGTAGTAGCTCGGAACTGGCTTCTTTTCCGTCTCGTTCGCCGGCTTCGGAACCGTGTAGGTGAACGCCACGCCCTTGTTCTCACCTTGGACCAGCAACTGCAGGGGAAAGAGGAAAAACAACTTCTAAGAAACCCCGTAAGACCTTTACAAGTGGAAGGAGGAACCTTCTTAGAAACCTCAGATGATATTTATTTATGCAGTATAAAGTAAAGTGGAATCATTCCTCAGGTAACCTATCTTCAGTCATTAAGGTTCTCACTAACTTTCTTCCTAGAAGAAACCTGACATCAAGACATATTTGTGTTACATTTGTCTTTTCCCTGAAGAACTTCACTTTTCAAGAAACAATATACATGGCCTGTTACAAAGAAATGAAAGTTTTCACTAAACTTTCTTCTTAGAAAATTCACAAGATCCTTGTGTTGGGTGAGTCCAATTTTTTTTGTTGGCAATTACAGGTGAATCTTGTTCATAATGACTTCTACCAACACAGATGAACTTTCAAGACAAGATCCTTGTGTCATGTTTGTCTTTTCCCTGATGGACCACAAAAAAATTAAACACAAGAGCGATGTGCTTTACTGAAACAGTAAAGGTTGAAGTACAGTTTGTTTGTGTGTTTTGACACGATGCAGAACCCGTTTCCGTTTGCAAATCTCTGCCCACAACATCCCAGTAGCAGCTTTTCGAGGTGCGCTATCAGGAAAATTGTCCAGCACGTCTCCATCTTTTATGTGTAGAGACTGTTGTTTGAAATGCTGTCATTTCGGTAAACACAGAACTGCACTTTGTTAAACCTGCCTTTCAGCACAGCCTCTTCAGATGGGGATTACTTGTGGCAAGGAGTTTATTATTCCACAGGCTCCAGTTGATTTTTCACCAGGATGCCAGCTTAGAAAGTTTGGACTAAACCCTGAAACTTTTCGAGGGGAGGGGGAAAGGTTCAATCCAGCTCTAAGAAACTTGTGGAGGAGTTACAGTAACTGTTAGAGACAACAGTCCCCCTAGCTGCTTCCTTGTAAACTGCAGCTCCTTTCCAACTGCAGGTTACAAGTACACGAATCCAGCAAAACAAACCATAACTGGCTACTGTATCTCTGAGCTCTGTCTGGTCTTTGTTATTAGAAGTTACTCCAAGTCCTCGATCTGCACATGGCAGGCTCTACAGGCCAGGCTGTCTTGTGTCTTTCAGTGGCAGAGAAAAGAAGGAAACACTTGGAAAATATTTATGGGAGAAAGCGCTACATGATGACATTTATGCCTGTTGGTTTTACTACGCAGAAGAAACAGTTGCGCTATAAATACGCCAGCGAAGAGGCTGTTGCTCTAACTTCTTGTTTGCCTCACTACCACAATATTAGCCGCACAAATCATGTCAAACCTTTCTGTTTAGAGAATGAACTCAAATATTTACCCAAACCTAGCCTTTCCTGGCAACATTGCGGCCATTTGAGAGACACCTGTATTTATAAAAGGTGCAGATGTCTTGCCTAACAGAAAAATTTTCCTAAGAATAGAGTTGAAAGGAAAACCACACATGTTCATAATATTCAGTAAATTAAATCTTAGCAAATTTTGGTCCCAACATTTCAAAGGTTTACATGTATATTACAGCAAATTAAATCTTAGCAACAACTTCAAGATTTCGTCACAAAGTGTGAAGAAGCCATTTAATTGCTCTTGAAGTTTAACTCAAAGTCACAAGTTTTCCTGTCCCTGACCTTGAACTAAGCTCTGTTTTCAAAACTGCTCTTCATGTTTTTCTACAACGTAACTTATTTTCATTTGTGGTTTGTTGAGGTAAACACTGGAGCAAGCAAAGTGCCACACTTGGATAACTTGTCACAGTGTTCAAAAGAAAGGAACATCACTCAAAACCGTTTCAAAACACCGCTCAGCCCTCTCAAGATCTACGAAAACATTTGTGTATTTGGGAGGTCAGTTTTTCTTGGAAATGGTGGATAACCAGAGAGTTGTGCCTGGAACTACTCCCTACCAGGACCCTACTTGACAGGAAAACACGGAAGTTTAGAATATAAATATCTACAAGTGTTCCTACTGTAGAGTCAATAGTGTGCATGGAGATAAAATATAGGCTCCACATGCAGCATGTCAAAAACTGCGGGTTTGGGGGTCTTCAGGGTCTTTGGGAGCTTTTATGTGCTATTTTCTGATTGCATATAGACAACATAGCCGGCCTGGTTGAATCACCCCCGTTTTTATAACTGGGCTAATCAGAAAACAGCCGAAGAGCACCAAACCCCCAGTTCTATAAGCCTGCTACGGAGGCTAGATAAGTCTAATACATGAGTGTTTAATGCCAGGGTTTGGTATGTGTCTTAAAACAGGAGCCAAGGCTACTCTAGTTGACAAGCAGAGGGCACAAGAGAAGTCACCTGAAAAATTACGAATTTCTAAATCTCTTCCTATTCAGTACATAATTCATTTCTTTCGTCTGTAAAATCTGTATCACTTCTGTATTGATTCTGCCGGTATAACCACCCTTCAGCGTAACACACCAGCTTTGCAAGCACGCAGCGTGGCAGCAGCTGGCTACATTACAATGAACGACTTGTTACACTCATTCTTTGCACAATCATGTAAATCATATTTCAATCCCTCATCACGAAAAAAAGCTACGTGACCATGAACAAAGCGCAACTACAACTAGCAAGGCAGCTTAGAAAATCTCATGAACCACACACAGTGAAGCTTAGCTTTGCACATCAGTGAGGGCAGGTAAGGTCTACACAGCAATGGTCCAGACACCACAGGACAGGACAGCACACTGTAACATGTCTGTCAGGAACAGGCCTAAACACACCCATGAGGGCAACCAGGCTGCTTGGACAACAGGTGGAGCTGGCCTTCGGAAGTACGCTATGATTTCAAGAATTTTCTGCTAAAGACTTTGAATTCTTTGATTAAAGCTTCCCCAACAGTTTCATCAGAATGTGATAAAAAGCTGAAGGGCTGTTGGCAGCTGAGTTAAGAGGTAAATTTGCTGATAGTTTTCACACAATTTCTTTAAGTGTAGCAGAAAGAAAACTGAATCTGTACAAAATTAATAATATTATGATTCAAATGTCATTGAATAATAAGATACTTAAATTCATACTTCTGGAGTTTGGCTTATTTTTGGCCTGCTTTCAGACATTTTATCAGCTTTCTTTTTCGCACTGGTATCTTTTTTTTTTCGCCAACCCAATGTAAAAACGCCTAAAAACACCAAAAAATAAGCTAACGTTAAAACCCAAACCTAATTGCTTTGACTCCGAAGTTTGAGAGTAACTGTCATCATGAAAGAACCAAATCTAAAGTGAAACATTTTTTAGAGAACCATCTTAGTGCCAGACGTGGCCATCTGCATCTGGAATTACTGTATTACACTGTAGGACTGTGATTGAGCAGATGAGCCGACCACACGCCCACTCATCACGATTCCTTCCAACACAAATCTTTACATTTCTCCACCCTGTTGTTTGGCTTTGCTGTGGAAACACCAACTCCTCAAGGACTCGGAAACACAAACCTTTAAGGACAAAAGGTGACTTGCCTTGATTCAGCAAAAAGACAGAAAATATTAACGTTATAGCTGGTCATGTTATGATTTTGTCTGTGAGTTGCATAGTGTACTCATATGGTTGTCTCATACTTATTTTATTGTTGTTACTCTCTTTATGTAGTTTGCCATACATTGTACCATGTGCAATTGTCGTGCAGTAAAGTTCTTATAATTTCCCCTGGCATATAAGTCTCAGTTTTCTATACTATTTTTGAAATATTTTTATATTAGGATGATGATGATATTTGGCTAATTTACATTTACCTTCCCAGTAACCCAATAAAGTGTGGTGGAGACTATACTTATTTTCAAGTCCAGGCAGCATGACAACGTGTAAAATCCAAACAATACAGCAAGACTTAGTGTAAAATACAAGCAACTACCCGATGGACTCTACAGAGGGAGGCAAGTACATCTGTAGCCTCTCTCTTCCTTCCCTGTGAACTAGCTTCACCACCTCTCAGAGGGGCAGTTGACACGTGTACGGGTGATCGAGTGTTATACACAGCCTGCTGTCGTTGGCTATTGTGCTCCAAACGGGTTCGCGACCCCGTGTACTTGTGTTTAGATGCGGTGAATGGCTGCCAGCCGAAACCAAAAATATACAGAGGAACTCGATACGACCTTGGAGTTAGAACAGAAGTGGAAGGAACAGTGGGGCAATTGAGTAGAGTAGGCCTGGCGAAACAGGGCGACACAAGCCTGACGCCTTTGATGCCATCTCAGACATCGTGCTCAGGAAGTTAAACGTTACAATAACAACCCAACAACATCAATTATCCAGGGATTAACCTGTCAATCAGGGCTGTGTGGCGGCCATCTTGGTATCGACCTTGGGATATGACTTTTATGCATTCTATTGAGCAAACAAGTTCAAAAGTCCTTGAAATCCCAATCACACTTTCTACAAGTGTTCTATGACTTGTTTTCTTATTCTTTCATTTCTTTATTATTCTATTTTCAAATTGTAAGAAGTTGTTGAAATAATATTTTGTCAAACAAAACTTGATAACCAACAAGACTTGTAAGATCTTGGTGGCGTCCTTGGGATGACTTTCACACAATATTCTTTTGAGCAAACAAATTCAAAAGTTCTTAAAATCTCAATCACTTTTTCTACCAATGTGCTATGATTTTTGCATTGATTCTTCAGATGAAAAGAAGTTGCTAGAGAGCCTAAAATCTGATTTCTTTTCAAACAGAACTTGGCTGATGACTTGGGATGACTTTCACAAAATATTCTTTTGAGCAAATGATTCAAAAGTTCTTGAAATCACAAATTTTCTACAAATGTGCTATGATTTTGCATTGATTCTTCAGATGAGAAGAAGTTGCCAGAGAGCCTAAAATCCATAATTTTCTCAAACAGAACTTGGCTGATGACTTGGAATGACTTTCACAAAATATTCTTTTGAGCAAACAAAGTTCGAAAGTTCTTGAAATCCCAATCACAGTGTTCTATGACTTGTGCTCAGTCTTCAGATTGGAAAAGTTGCTCGAGGGCCTAAACTCGGTTTTTTCTCAAACAGAAGTTGATCAATGACAAACAAGACTTGTAAGATCATCCTTCAATCAGCAAAACTCATCTATGATGTCTCAGTAAATGTTCTAAGCGAGTGATTTTGCTTGTTGATAGTTGATCAGGCTCACTTGTCCCAAACACACTTCTTTTGTCTTTTGCATTCCTCGCTGCTTTGGGAAACAAGAGAGCAATTAGGCTCTTACACACTTCACTACATCACCACTCTCCCATACAATTTCTCACAGTTAGTTATCCATTCGGAACTTGACTGCTTTCTTTTTTTTTAAACACACTGTCTTAAGATTTGAAAGTTTGTATAGTAATTCCACTGAAAGAAAACTTTACACCTATTTCTTCCCACAACTTACTAACAGGTGAAAATGAGTACCTACGGGTTCCATTAGGGAAGTCCTCTCGAATGGGCTGTAAAGCTGGAGGTCCCGTGTTTGAAGATTGCCTTCTATCAAACACTTCTATCAAGTCGACTATCACATAACATCCTACCTCGATGACTACAGCTTTCTTGCTCGGCCCTTTAGCAGTGAGCATCTGTAGGGTCTGCTGTAGACGAAAGTGGTTCCCCCAATCTCAAAGTCACCACACTTTCCACCGCTTTTTAACATTATCTCACTGTACTTACAAATATACATTACAAGACACCTACCTCAATGACTACAGCTTTCTTGCTCGGCCCTTTAGCAGTGAGCATCTCTGGTTCGTTGTAGGGTCGGCTGTACACGAAAGTGGTTCCCCCAATCTCAAAATCACCACACTTTCCACTGCTTTTTAACATTATCTTACAAATGTACATCACAAGAAACCCTACCTCGATAACAACAGCCTTCTTGGTTGGCCCTTTAGCAGTGAGCATCTCTGGTTCATTGTAGGGCCTGCTGTAGACGAAGGTGGTCCCCCCGATCTCCACCTCCCCCGGCCAGTCCACGGTCCAATCGCCCGTGAGGTAGTACTTCCCGTCCAGGTCTCTCACGGCCAGATAGCTGGAGGAGATGTTGAGTTCCTCCACTCTCACACTGCGCGCGCCCGCTGGGATGGTCACGATTGGGTGGTACTCTGGGGTAGTAGGGGGAAAATATTTGTTTATTTATGGCACAGAAATATGTAACATACATGTATGTTAAAAAAAAACTACCAGAAAGTGTTGTGGTAGAAAGTGAACAAATAAGTTGATAATAAATCAGAACAGCAATAAGTCCTGAAGCAAATGAGTGGGAGAGGTACTCTGGAGATAGTGGGGAAAATGTATTCAGTCTTCCTCAGCAACTTAAGTCTTTTGGACACACAGGTTTTGACCCCAAGAAGGCAAATTTTTGCCAAGACAGTCCAGCTTATCCCATCTGGAGATGATGATAAGTCCTGGAAGAAATTTCTGAACCCTTCTCCAAAATCTTAAATCTCTTATGACACAAAACTAAATACATTTCATCCCTTAAATCATCCCTATCTGCAGCAAGAGAGGGACAAATTCAGAAACAAAATAGGAACTTGGCAAAAGTCAATTTCTTTGTGGAACCATCTTTTTAATTGATCTAGAAATGAAGCTGAATGTAAAGCAGTGCTCACTGTTGTCCTCGGGCATGTCGTGGAACTCTCCGTACACGAAGTCGCAGGTGGAGTTGTCTCCGTTACAGACGCCGCAGCTGTCATGGGTGGCGTCCGAACCCAGCACGTGGTCACAGCCTACTTTCTACAGGGAAGAACACAGAATAATGTACATAATCTACCTTTGTGTACAAGGTTTTGTTGTCAATGTGTCTGTTTGTGTGTTAGCTTGTTTTCCTTAGCTATTTGCACATTATAGCTGTCATTACACCAGTACGTGGTTGCAGCCAAATTTCTACAGGTCACAACATAGATGTACATTAATATTTGTCTTTGTGTATCAAAGCTTTGTTTTTGGTATGTGTGTTTGCTTGAGTTTCGGTAGTTATTCAAAACATTATAGGCATGTAGGGGACACGGACAGAATTTCATCGATGGATCCAGTCTTCAATTTACTCAGGCAGGTCATTGTGCAGACAGAATCAGTAAGAAGGTACTCAGAATAATGAATGAATAAAAAAAAATTCACAAAAATATAGACTTGGATATATATAGACAGATATTGAAGTATTGACCTCGCAGGCTCCATCCACGCACACGTCCAGCCGATCCCCCTCCTCCACACACCGCGTTCCGTCCTTGACCTTGCTGGCAAGGGCGTAGAAAAAGTCGAAGTCTTCTGCGATGCAGTACAGCTTGCACTGGTCAGATTCTGTCAAAAACAACACATAACCATTGGTAAACGATCAATAAAGTATTAAACATATTAACCATTATTCTAACTAATAATCAGATGTTACAAGAAGAAGTCGAAGTCTTCTGCGATGCAGTACAGCTTGCACTGGTCAGACTCTGTAAATAACCAACACATAAACCATCGGTTAACCTATCAACCAGATATTAATCTATTAACCATCGATTAACCTATCAAAAATGCAGTACAGCTTGTACTGGTCAGATTCTGTAAACAACCAACACATAAACCATTGGTTAACCAATGAATCAGATAACCTATTAACCATCGTAACTAGCTAACCAGCATCAAAAAGCTTTGGCACTACACAAGTGTAAGGTACCTGGTAATGATGCTAGCAAATTGAATGATTAATTTAGAATACAAATATGATAACACGCCAAGTAACAAAGAAGACAACAAAATGCAGTGGACCGAATTTTGTTTGACAAAGTTGACTGTCATCAGGGAAATTAAGTCCTCATAACGAAGCACACTAATTAGGTCCTTCGTCAACAGGACATACCTTCATTATGCAACAAACAAATTCTTAATGAGATTGACTTTTTCTCCGGTACCAAATTTAGAACGACCAGTACCTAAATCTTGAGTATATCATTCTATTTTACAGCTTGTTTCCCTAGCCACAGGCACATAATAAAAGCTAAGCACCAAACAAAAACAGATGCCATGTGCAGGTGAGTTTACAAATTAGAGTTTATTCCTTCTTTCAAAATGTTTGCGTCTTCCCAAATTTAAAGTGACCAGCCCCTGAATCTTGAGTGTTGTCCATATTTACTGCTGAGCTTGTTTCCCTAAGCCACAGGCACTTAATAAAAGTTAACAGCCAGCCGAAAACACAAACCACATGGCCTTGACCAGGTGAGTTCTACGACATAAAGTTTCGTGTTTATTCCTTCTTTCAAAATGTTTGCGCCTTCCCAAATTTAGAGTAACCAGCTCCCAAATCTTGACTCTTGTCCATATTCACTGCACAGTTTGTTTCCCTAGCCACAGGCACATAATAAAAGCTAATACTAGTAGTCAGCTGAAAACACAACTTAGAGTTATTTGAGTTTACAACTTAGAGTTTATTACTTCTTTCCAAATGTTTGCGTCTTCCCAAATTTAGAGTGACCAGCCCTTGAATCTTGAGTTTACTTATTGCCCAGCTTGTTTCCCTAGCCACAGGCACGTAATAAAACCCAATAGCCAGCCGACAACACAAACCACATGGTCTTGACCAAGGTGAGATTTATGACCAACCCTTAACCACTCCTTGCTCCAATCTGTTCCTCCCGACCTGTGACCTCAAACCCGGGCGACCTCTACTCGCAAGGTCATGGGAACCGTGGTAACGGGGCTGACCAATGACAGGCCGTGATTGGAAACAAGTTTTTTCACGCTGTGAATTTTTACCAAGGCCAGCAGGTGTCCGGACCCCAATTTAAAGAAACATGTAAGAGTTTAACAGGGGCAGGACCTGTCATGGCGAGAATGGCAGGAGGTGTTTTTGATACATACTACCGCTCTGAGTTCTCAACATTTTAAATGACTGTGTAAATCTATGTCCAGGCTCCTTCTTCAAAGTTTACCAGGTAAACTAATTCAAATACATGGCTTCTGGATTTGTCAGAAAAAGCTAAAGCCTAATACCACTTGTGTGTTATTCAAAGGATATACAGACAGTTTGAGCTCTCCCCTAAAGTCAAACACTTACATTGATGCAGGTTTTTAAATCTGTTGAAAATAGTACATAACTCAAATAACTGGAAGTGACTTTCACTCAAATAAAGAGTGAATGATAATTGATGCGGTCTGCAATGTCTGACTCTTTAGGGACTTTATCTACCTCAAGTTGTCCGAATTATTTCGTATAATGATGCTGACACTGTTCTTGTCATCTGGTTTCTCTCCTCAAAATTCCTTTAAGGACCAAAAAAGAAAATGAATTGGCGCACATGTGACCTTAACCAAACTGTTTGAATTATTTTCTTCTAATGATGTCTTACGATGCCTATACTGTTCTTACTTGCTTGTCATCTGCTTTCTTTCTTCAAAATGGATCGGTACACATGTGACCTTAACCCGAAACAGACTAGAGGGAAGAGAACTGATGGTAGTGATAATTTTTCACCAGGTGAATCTGCTAAGAAACCACCTGTTCACCATTAAGTGGCCATCAAGGAGGAAGGAATTTCCTCAAGACAATCATCTCCAGTCTTGAAGCCTGGAGGGAGTCTTAAGGAACATCTTAAGGTCTGTCATCAATAGGGGTCATTCCAAGGACACTCCCATGATGCCCTGCCTTTAGAACCTGCTAGGTCATGTGACGTCTGACTAGACAGAAGCCTTCAACACGTCCACTTACCCTGTGTTTAAATCCAGGCTGTGGTTTCATAAACACTAAATAAATGCAGACAAAAGGAGGAGGCAAGTTTTCTAACTTCCGGGACACAAAACATTGTGTCACCAGCAAAGTGGTATCAAATGTACAGAAACTGAACACATGGGGGTAGAACTAATTATAAACCAAGCAAAAACCAACTAAAGAAGTAGGCAGATACCGGAACATATATTAAACTCCCTACAACTTTGAGACAGTGTTACGCTAAAGGGCAGTTATACCGGCTATACAGACAAAGATACAGATCTGTGCCTCACAAACGGAACCAGACCGGCTGTCAGAAAAAACCCTGAGTCAGTAACTCCGGGACTGACATCGTTAATCTCCATTACACATCCTCGCCTCAACAAGACATGAACTTGTCATAGAAATTCCTTCCAGCCAAAATCTTAAAGACACGACAGTCAGACGTCTAAGACAATCCAGCTGTGAAGACCTTCAGGTAAGAAGGTCGTGCCGACCTGCGTGCCTGGAAGGAACCCCCGTGACCTTGTAATGACCTTGGGCTTGGCCTGGACAAGTGTCTGAGACGAACAAGCTTGAGAAGAGATAAATTTAAGTAAAAAAAATGCAAAGCAACAACACCTAGAAGTGTATTCTAAAATCTTATGAATTCTTTTATTGGTCCTGTTTTTTATTCTGAAAAAAAAAAGTTTGAGAACCTGGACTTTCTCACTCAACGAACTTGACTTCTACTAGAAAGAGTTACAGTTCTTTGGAAAGGTCCAGTGTAGATTGTACTTGAAAGAGATAGGAGCTTCTTAATAGCACTAGGGAGAACCCTATATTCCAACACCTCTAATCTCGGACAACATTAGGTTAGGGTGGTCAGAATATGGGTTGAGTTGTACAATAACATTAGGTTGCCGGAACATTTGAGTGTAACAGTTACTATAAAATGTTGTCCATTCCCAGTTCCCCACACTACCCACCTTCCACCCTGGTGTAGGGTTTCCACTTGTAGTACCATCCCCGGAACGGCTTGCTGTTGAACTCTGCACACTGCTGAGAACGGAAGTCTCGCGTGTCCGACGGACAATCCTGGGTGTGTGGGGGGGGGAGGGGGGGGCAAAAGGAGGAAGTCATTATTTATTTCCTAATACACGTTTTATTTTTGTGTATATTGTATATATTGCTTTCATGTACATTTGCTATGCCAAAACAAAGTACAATGTATACATGTATGCCATACGACAATATACAACACTAAGTCTTGTATTGTGCAAACTCTCTCGACTACAGAAAATTCTGAGAGGCCATTTACCAGGTAATCAATGGCTTTTCAATTTATCCTACTTGCAAATCAATAAACCAACCAGATTAAACTACTAGTACTAGTGATCACATTATAAGAGGTCATTTTCAAGTTTTCACAACTTCCCTACCATGTACGGTGGAGTGACGCCCACCGAGCCTCTTAGGCTAAATGTCTAACTGGGTGCCAAAAACACCCTACGGATTTGGTGCACCAATGTGTCAACATCAGCACATTTGCGATCAAGAGCCGTTAAAAAAATTTTAAAAAGTAAGTTTTGCTGTAGCTTGTAGACACAAAGTTTATATTTATAGGGCCAGTTTTCCAAAACCCTGCATTGTAGGCTTATCATAAGAACAGATGGAAGGTGTCGTTTTTAAACAAGCAAGCTCGGCTTTTGTTTCAATATCAGTCCGACGACACATATTACTTTAGAATCGGCGTCGCGCGCTGACGGGCTTTGATCTTGGTACGAGCCTAAAACAGCGACGCTTTGTTGCTAAACTTCTCGTGTGCGTCTCCAAACACGGGAGCTGTCAGAACATGCTGGAGATGTGTCGCTAAGATCTGTTCCAGGGACGGACTGCAGACAGGTCTGTCTGTCTGTCTGTCTGCCGCGGCCAGGTGGGCTATCCAGGGCTGGAAATACTGGCTGCAAATTTTGCACTTTTGTGCACTCAAAATTTGGAGATATGCACCTAATTTTTGACTGTGGATGTACCTAGTAGATATTTGTGTAGGGTTACGCATGTAGTATACATAATACACATACACTGGCATGTTCTTGACAATGAAAGTGTTAGAAGAAATTGTTATAGTACTTTAAAAGAATATTTAAGTTAGATATAGAGTTTCAGACTCAAGCTCTGAAAAGAGACACCACTAACTTGAGTAAATTTTTGATTAGGCTTGCTGATATTTAACTTGATTCTATGTTGTGCACCCCAAATTTTTTCCTTGCACCTAACTTTCTAGGTTAGATACACCAGTGCACACACTACCAAGACCAAATTTCGAGCCCTGATGTAGGACAGGGGGGTGAATTCGAAGCTGGGGAGGTGAGCACATGATCTGCTCATACGGACAATTGCACTTTCAGAAAGGCCGGCCTTGTCCGTCTTCACGCTCGCAAATCCGTTGTCAGCTTCCAACTGGCTGTCTCACCCCCGCGCCGTGTTTACATTAGGCTGAAGTATTTCTTAGACGACTGTAAACAGCAGGGGTTTAAGAACAAGCTTGGTAGACTTTTCAGAATCTCTCTCCCTTTCCTAAATGGCTTCGGATGAAGACTTGTAATCCCTTCGTGACTCTTGTATGACATTTATGCTCTATCGTAAAACTCAAACTCATCGTAACATGAAACTATAGATTTGATTGCTAATTACATACAATAGGTTTACTGGTTAGCTAACTTGATACCCATATCATACAAAATCATAAGTTTCTCTGGGTATACACAGTTCCCTTGTTGAAGATTTGTTGCCTTCTTGACTCGTCTATGACATGTATGCTCTATTTCAACATGAAATATAGATCTATTTGTTGATTATTAATGCTATAACGTAAGTCATTAAACTTTACAAGTCAGCTAACTTGATATCATACATTGTCAAGATACAGTTCTGGTATGTAGGACATTTTTACGGTCATTCACTTGATTTGTTCTGTCAAGTGGATTCATTGAAATATGGGGTTTCGGAAATGACGGAAGAAGAAAGGTCACCAGACAGATAAAGTTTAATGAGTGAATCATTTCTCCCTTCTTCCGTCCAGGTGAGCTCTGACAATGGAACACCTTACAGGTAACACAGGTGGGCCAGACTTCAAAGGAGGCCCCCTAGAGAGCACACAGGTAAGGCAGCGGAAAAATGACGACAACGTCAAGAAATCAAACTTGTGTTTAGAAAGTGCAACACACCAAGTCTTTGTCCCTCTCCAACTTGAAGATTGCCCAAGTTACTGTATGATTGGAAAATTTGGAATCATATATTTGGGTTAAGTTTTCAACCAATTAATCAAAAATGTTGTAGACACACGTCAACCAGTGTGAAAAAAAAGTGTTTCACTAAAAATGAAGTTCAGTAAATTTATTGATTACACAAAAATCACCAAAATTTGTAACCTCTGTCGCAGGCTTATAGAACTGGGGGTTTGGTGGTCTTCGGCTGTTTTCTGATTAGCCCAGTCCAAAAAAACGGGGGTAATTCAACCAGGCCGGCTATGTTGTCTATATGCAATCAGAAAATAGCATATAAAAGCTCCCAAAGACCCTGAAGACCCCCCAAACCCCCAGTTTTTGGCATGCTATGGAGGCTACAGAATTTGGCTCTGCTAATGTAAGCCACTTTACGGTATATGAGTGGGGGTGAAGTTCGTTGGCTTATTCTGTCTGGCCACCCACTACAATGTCACACTACAGCAAATTTTCAATAAAGAAAAATAAGTGCGAAACCGATTTCAAAATACTTTTAACGTGTTGTGTCAACAGAAATCACTGTTTAGTAAACCTCCTCAGAAATTGCATGGGCTGAAATTATGACATGCTTGACAAGTGGCGTCTAGGGTTCCGTATCAAATTTTGCCACCATGGTTGCTTTTCTAAACATTGCTAGCAGCAAGAACTTAAAGTTCACAATGAATTACTGACTAAAAAGAAAAAAAAAACACCTCATTCCATTCAAAAAACATCATTCTACAGTTATCTACTGTATTATATATTATATACATTTGTAGTAATTGATTTAATTTAATCTTTTTTTTTAGTTGGACTTAGAGTGCTACTGCTACATGTATGATGAGGGCCTGCATGCCCTTTTTCGTAAGGCGTTACATATAATATAAATCAGGCCTTTTTAGTCTTCGTAATCCGTAGGCAGCCTCCCAAAAAAATCAAGGCAATTCGTACATTAACCGCAAAGCGTAAAGTCATAATCAGCTCTGAGAATTTAACGCAATTTGTAATCGGCGGCGAAAATTTTGCATTATTCCTAATCACACACACACCCCATGAAGGTCCTCTATGATGAGTGGGGAGGGTGGAATTTTGTTAATACACTGTAACACATAATTGTGTCAAATACTCTTTTACATCCAAACTGGGCAAACTTGATGTTATATTTCAGTACACAGTATACAAAGGAAACCATGACAGGATTACACTTAGTCCCTTCACAACCATTAACAGCAGGGCAGATTGACACTGTTTGGATACGGATCATGTCTGGGCTACTGGGAGACAAGATAAGCCGATAACTGGCTGACGGGTCGACTGGGCGAATTTCCTCGTATTTGCGGAGGTTTAACTTGGAACTACTCCAGGCTTGGTCTGCGGTTTTTTGTGGAAACAATGAGTTTCTGTTATGTTCTGAAACAACAGGAGCTACTTGACTATTCTGCATCATCCTTGTCTTGACTTGTCTAACTTTTGTTTCCTTTTGGACTTTCCAAAAAAATAAAAAATAAATAAAAGATTGTCTTCGCTTATTTGCGTACCAATCAATAGTTTGTACTTATAAACCTGCCTTTCTGACAACTCTCCGGTGTCACTGACAAAAGGCAGTGGATACTAGCTGAAATGTCAAAATCATAATCAGTTGCTTGAGTAACTGCTTTTTGACGTATCTTATTACCTGGATGTCTAACCTTCATCAACTTACCAATGACCCCTTCTTTTACCTTACGTTTCTCTGACAAGAAAGCGCTTTTGGAAAATCACTATGGGTGGGAATTTTTTTCTTTCCCGGGAGCTAAGACGAAAAGGATATCTGTTAAACCTGAGTAAGTTCTGAGCAAACTCCAGGCTGATTAAATGGTTCAAATGGACTTAACAACTCAGCCAATTATGGCCAGGTCAGACCAGACAGCCGCTCGTGAGGACTAGCTAAGTGTTTTGATCAAACTTTGACCCAAAGAAGTGATAAAAGAATTCTTAAGCCTCAATGGGCCCTCAAGTCAAGATTCCATAAACTGTAAATTTTCTGAATCCATTTCATTCATATAGAATAACATTCAGCTAAACACAGAGCTACCATTTATTTTTTGTCGCTTGATATAAACCTACGATACAGGTAATCAAGATTTGGTGGTTGGTTTCCACTTGGGCTTGTGTTGATAGCTGAGCCTTATCGAAACGTCTCTTTATTTTCCCAAGCAGCAGTGGTGTTGTTAAACCACAGACTAATTGGACGTAATTGGTGGCAGTTTTTGCCCCACACGTTTAGGGAAACCGGTTTGATGCTGATCACAAGGTCAGGATTATACTAGCAACTGGAGGGGCTCAAAATCTGTTTGGTAGAATTGATGGACACATACTAGTAGCAGGGCTGGAAATACTGGAAGCATATGCAGCATTCCTCCTATACCCAAAGATAACTTTGGAGCCCTGTATAAGCTAGCTGTTTTGAAGCTAACAGAAAAAAAAAGATGATTCAGACAGCCAGGGAAATCCAAAGACAATATACAGACTTAAAGGACGGGACTCGGAGTGTTTTTGGAGATTGTGGAGGTTCAAAAATTGTTTGGTAGTATTGCCGGATGTATAAATAACTTTGTCTGCATGTTTAGCCTGTTTCTGACTTCATTAAAATCATGCAGATTTGATCATTAGTGGCCGTATGTTTTGTCTATGTCTGTATGTCAAATACATAGGTTGACATGTTTTTTCAAAACAAGCATTTTTCGTTTATTTTTAGTCACAATTAAGGGTGTCCAGATGTATTAATTTTGTTTCAATGCCAAAAAAAGGTTAACACTGCTTTGTTGAAATGTTACTTGGATTTCATAACAACTAGAATCAACCAATCAACCAATCAGCAATTTTCGTTAATCATGAGACATTCAGGCCTTATTTTAGGACCACAAAACTTCTATTTGAGTTCACTTCCTCAAATATTTTAGGCTAATTTTACATTCGGTGCATGATCTAGAAATTTGAGAAGAAGTCTACACCATTGTCCATTTTACCAAGTACGTTCTATTCTTGATTTTACAAATTAAGTGACTCATTAAGCAACTCATCATCGGGAAATTAACATCTTAAAATTTCTGAACTTTAAGTAATCCTGTAAACTTTCCCAGACAATTGAGTACCGTTAAGGGATTAGTTCTGAATAAATGGACACAAGGGCAACTGAAGTGAGCCACACACAGTGAACTACCTCTTGTTGGGTACTACATATTTAAGTCTGGATGTCGACAAATGATAGCCTGGGTACCATCCTAGTTACTTTACATCTGCTCCAACAGTCAAATGACAAACCATCGGAAAAGCATAAACTAACGAGTTTTGGTAAGCACTTTTGGGTAAGATTATAGCTGCATTATAAGCCTTCAAAATGAGATAACTGCTGTAGGTACAAGGTTCTTGTTCCTAACCTTGAATGAAGTGTATATTGTGTAAGTGCAGTGTTCTCACCTGAATATTGCACATTCGGTAGATTTTGCTCTCCCCAACACAGTAAGTGCCACCATACTGAGGTCTGCAATGAAAAAAAATGCAACTTATTTTTAAAACATGCAAAAAGAGCAGATACTCTTAGAAGCCCTACCAACATTTCACTTGTCTTGACGTGACAAAGAGAGACAACCTGAAAGAAACAAGAGACCATCAACCTTCATAAACTGTAACAAGAACCATACAAACTTCTGGGTACCTTTGACCCACTACTGACACATTTCCAGTAGCAGGTATCTATCCAAAAACTATGAATTGATATGTACATGAGGTGTGACTTGTTTTAGACAGTCCATGAGAAGAAAACAACAAGACAAAGCTAATACAAGGTTGATCCAAATGTGTTAGTTAGCTCCTGTTGTTTGAATACAGGAGCTAATGTTGTCTTGTGGGGGTGGCAGGGCAGGGTCACAAGTGCTGGAAACAAACAAACAAACAAAGCATACCTGGGGTGCGGGAGCAGGGAGCCTACTCCGAGAACACCGATCCCACTTACAGGATAAACAAACAAACAAGCAAGCAGACGTACCTGGGGTTATTGCAGTCTCGCTCCTTGTACGTGATGCCGCCTCCGCATGTTCTCGAGCAGGGCGCCCACTCCGAGAACACCGACCAGCCGCCGTCCACCGCAGGCGGGCCGTCCTTCCCGTAGTCCACGCACTGACCCATACGGCACCACTGTGGGGAAGAGACAAAAAATTAGGCCATTTGATTTGTGGTTTTTCGATTAAACAGAATCATCATCATCATCCACTGTTTTCTGCATCATTTTGCAGTTGTACAAAAACGTCATGCAGTTGCATTTACTGTTTTAGTCTTCTCCTTCTTCTCTTTTCATCTCCTTCAACCGTGTCTTCTGTCTTTCTTCCCGTGAGCTCCCTTAGCGAGTTTCTTTTCTGTTGTGGGAGGGCCTAGCCCTCTGTGCTTCATGTCTAGGTAATGATATCCCTAGGCCACTCAAATTTGATTTGTTGGTTCTCTGACTGACTGACTCCCTCCCGTAGCTTAGTCAGCCGTTGGGGCAGCATGATGTTTGACAAAGGTGACCAAATCTGTCTCAGTCTACAGTTCCTTAATGTAACCCCAGACATGTAAGTGGTTCCTTGATCCTTGTTTTGAGGTTGAAGTAAAAAAAAAAAAAATCCCCACCTTGTTGGGCCCGCAGGACGTGCCCTCAGCAGCGGGTAGAAACTTGGTCTCACAGCGCCGCCCTCCGCGGTGGCACCACAGTCCCTTACAGATGTCCTGTACCGAAAGGGACTGGGGTGATCAACACGGTTATCATACAGAAGGTAGAAATGCCACCAAAGACAAGAAACGCAAGTACAGCAGGTGTAACTAAAGCAGCACCGCACTGGACAGCACTAGCAAAAAAACTAGAAGAAAGACGGTAAGATGCAACTAAAGGAACAACCCACTAGGCAGCACTGCGCAAAAAAAATTAAAAAAATGAAAAACTGGGGTAACAGAATAAAATCATCTTTCAGACCCTCTAGAAAAATGCCACCGAAGACAAGAGATGAAAGTACAGTAGATGCAACTAAAGGCCACTGCATTGGACAACTGGGGTGATTTAAAAAAAATCATCCTTCAGATTCTCTAGAAGAGAAGATTGCAAAGGAAAAAAAAGAAACATGTGTGCAACTTAGACGTCACCACAATAGATAGAGAGCACTTGCATAGTGTAAACCCTATACCAATGTAACATAGCATCCTTAGTATCCCCTATAGGACTGCCATGCTTTCAGTCTGCAATTCAAAAAGAAGCTGCAAGGGTACTGCAAAAAATCTGGATGGCAAGGCAGACTTGCAAGGGGAAAGTCATGCAGGTCCACTGCCAAAATTGCAGTAAGCAAAGCAAGAAAGAGACCACAAAAGGAGGTGAAAACGTATCCTTCTTGCCAGATCGCCCAGGCAAATATACCTGTACATGTAAAAAGCACACATGTACAAGCACACTGTCTAGGTCCTACCTTAATGTGATCGAAGTGCTCATGGCAAATTTGCTGTCCGTCACACTAAACACATAACACAGAGCACACACACACAGAGCAGACAACTGTTAGACATAACAAAGTACACCACGAGTAATGGGCAGAATCATGTCCATGTATTACCAGCCTTCTCAAAACAAGCCGGCTACCGGCGAAAATCGCCGCCTACTCAAATTATTGCGCCGGCTACTTTCGTCAAAATTTTCAAATTTTTGCGCCGGCTACTTTCGTCTAAATTTTCAGAAAAACAAGTAAGCTCCGTTACATTTTCTCACAAACTTCACCGGCTCATTTCTTCTGACGAACTTCAGACAAATTTCTGCTAGCTTTCTGGATCTGAAAACTGCTTCTTTCTTAGCCTCCTGTGCAGATTTCTAGTGCACGAGTCAGCGTTTGTTTCTACGAGCGGCCCGCGGCCGGCCAGAGCGGCCGAAACGTTTACGGGGGGAGGTCTTGGTTCGGGGCTCGAGTTGTATCGCTCGAGCTAGGCGGAACTTGCTTCGTAAACTCGTTGCTCACGAAAATTTATCAAGCCGCTACCTTCCCAACTTCTCCCGGCACTAGTAACATTCCTGCTACAAATAACTAGTACAAATCACGTCAAAAAATATCAAGACATGAATAGAAGCGTGTTCATATCTTTCATACACAGAGACAAATTTTCAAAAACAAATCGCCAAATTTAGCGAGATTTCACAGCTGTTTCATTCATCAAAAGTTCTTGTCGATCGTAAAATGATCACTCATCTGTTGTCTCCACTAGTGTGGCATTTGTAGCTTAATCACGGCTAGCCAAAAATCAGCGTCAAAACCCCGGAATAAAAACACGCACACTCCGCATCGCTGTACAAAAACAGGAGCTTTCACTAAGTTTCAGGCGCCATCTTGTCATGAATATTAAGTAGCAGCGTGCGATCGACGCTCGGATTGGTTCACCTCACATGACCTGCGTTCTGATTGGATAAGCGATGTGGCCAGCAGCCGGCAGCGCGGGAAGATTTTTCTTCGCCGGCAGGCTCTCGCCGGTGAAGAAGAGACAAATTTACGCTGCTTTCTACGTTTTTTCTACGACTACTAAGCAACATCCTATTAAAGAAATACATAATTAAAAGAATTTTCGGGAAGATGTATATTTCTCTACGCCGATTTTTGGCCATTTTCTCGTAATTTTCTTGTTCAAGGAACCCGGAAGTCAGTGTACCGGGACGCGGGGTGAATTTCCATAGGGCATTTATGGATCGCACCCCGCTAGAATTAAACCGTCAAAACAGAAACAAAACTTCCAAAAAGCGAAACTGTGACATTTTTTCACATCCCAATGATTATTTTTTCGATCAAATTGACATTTAAATATGCTTTCTTTATTTTTCTGCATTTTGTGGCCGGGCGCAAGGACCGCGCGTAATACGATCGGAGCGGCAAACAATTTTAATACAGCCTTTTTCCGGAATTATTTGTGCACGAACAGTAAATTTTGGAGCCACAAGATTGCCATAAAAGCTGCTCAGAATGTACCAAAAACGATGTTTAGGGGTCTAATTTTTACGATTTCCTCCGGGGGAGGCCCCCCGGACCACCCCAACGGGAGGGGGGCCACCCCCCTCCCGTACCCTCCCCCCGCGAGCCGCTGCGCGGCTCGCTTCGAGCCACTTCGTGGCTCGCCTGCTACTTTTTCTTATCAGCCACCTACTCTAAATTTTTTTGAGAAGGCTGATTACTGAAAAGTAGTTGTGTGAAACAAAGAAAAGTGGCAACATTGGGTGTGAAATCTCAGGTTCTGAAGCAAAATTTGACTGGATTTCCAACACAATAATTGGACTAACCAAAAGGTTTTGCCTGTGTGGCTGTTTCAAGTGTACTAAATAACACAAGTTAATGAAGTTCTGACTTTTATACCTATCCAGTGCAGTTAAACATAAACTTTCAATCTACGAAATCTCACCTTCCCAAAGTCAAACATACAGAGCTGCGCACTGTTCCCAAACTGCCACTTGCACTGCAGGTCAGCGTTGTACAACTCTCCGGGCAGCTTCTCCGGAAACTTGAACTCAGCAACGGCCTTGGGAGGGTCGTCCAGACAGGTGGACTGGGCAGTTCTGGGGACGGATGGGAATAAATAATGCAAGCAGGGTTAGCTGCCACAGAGAGCTGGCATGTAATCTGTCTTCTGGATAGATAATCAGTACCAAGGCCAGTCTTGCCTTAAAAATGTTGATCTTTCAGCAGCACATTGATGCCCTTTCTCAAAGAACGAGGTACTACATCAAAGAGAAAAAGTTTTTTAGACATCTAATTTTCAGGCTCTAATACTTCTGCCAGAGGTTCAAACCTAGTACTTTCAGATTCTAAGTCAACAATCCTTGCAGTTGCAACTTATAGGCTCTTTTATACACAAACAACAAACTTGCATAGATGGTCTCTGTCCCCGAGGTTCTTAAGTGCTTCTGATATTCTTTCAGTGTCTATGAGTTTCTTTAAGTGTCTACTCATACAAGGAACTTGCACATGTAGTCCGTCTTTAAGTTAGAGGTTTTCTAAGTGTCTCTGAGTTTTCTCTAAGTGTGTACTCACACTAGGAACTTGCGTAGGTAGTCCCTGCTGCAGGAAGACCAGGAGAACATGCCGTTGACCCCCTGCAGAGTTGGGGACATGATGTTCCCGTCACGCTTGCTGCACACGTTCCCCTCTCCATCATGCACCATACCGAAACTGCAGGGATGACAAATAAAGGGGTGACAATTGGCTCATAAAAATCTAATCTCCAAGCAGACCTCTCCGTGGCAAAAAGACAGTATCAAATTGGCCAGACAGTATCCATTGGCCACCAGATCTTCGGTGGCTATTATGGATACTCCTCTGCCCAATATATACTGCCTTGCCACTGCATGATTCGTTTGGAAGTTAATCAAAATCATCAGGAACTACAAGCAGTGTTTTCCTTAGTTTTCATTCTTCACTTTGGCAGTGACACCACATGATTCCAAACTATAAAGGATACAAGAAACACAGGAAGAAAAGTAGGGGTGAGTATTCGCTCATCAAAATCATCAGGAACAGAAAGCAGTGTTTTCATTTTACTTTTGTTACTTTGGAAGTAACACTACATAATGATAAATGGGTAAAAACAAGAATCAGAGTTTTTCTTTTGGTTCATGTCACCTCGGCAAAGTGACAAGCCAGACTACAGAAACAAAAGTGAACAGGTAAGGGTGAAAACGTGGGTAACAGACCCAGAAATCCCCTCACCCACGTAGACCAACCCAGGTCACGCACTGTCCCACAAGAGACTTCCAACGCAAAGCCGCAAATCCACAAATCCAAAGCCCCCAATCCCCCCTGTTCTCACCAACACCCCTAATTGGTCCAGAAAGCCCATACAGGGATTTGGGTACAGGGGAGAGGATGTAAGGAGCTGTATAGAACACTAGATCTCTGCTAACACCATAACTGGTATGACAGCACTTCTGAAAAGGAAAGAGACTTTGATCAAATCCGGTGTCCAGACAGACATTTCTGCCGAGCGTGACGTTTGACCCAAGTTGAGCATCTTTCGATGGTTATCGTGATTGAACAGTCTTGTAATGTAGCCTCCGTAGCAGGCTTATAGAACTGGGGGTTTGGTGGTCTTCGGCTGTTTTCTGATTAGCCCAGTAGCCTCCGTAGCAGGCTTATAGAGCTGGGGGTTTGGTGGTCTTCGGCTGTTTTCTGATTAGCCCAGTTCTAAAAACGGGTTTTAACCCTTGTCCTGCTGGCATTCCTGGCACAATATTTTTCAATATTTTCATGTCTTAATTAGATAAAAAAAAACAAAATTTTTTTGCCCTGCAGTGGCATAGTTACTTCCGCATTCGTTGCGTTTCGCAGCGGTGTAATCCGTTGCACGAGAAATACCCCCAAATCGTACCTATGCAGGGTGTTATATAGATGGTACTGAATGTGCCGCGCAACATATGTTGCGCACAGCAGGACAAGGGTTAATTCAACCAGGCCGGCTACGATGTCTATATGCAATCAGAAAATAGCACATAAAAGCTCCCAAAGACCCCCAAAACCCCCAGTTTTTGGCATGCTATGGAGGCTACTTATCATGAGCGTATCTCCTTGATCTGTTCGGTTGTCGTCTTCTGGGGTCTTAAAGCAAATCCCCTTCCTGTCTATTCAAAGATGAGACAAGAATGCGAAGTAGGATAGACATACATACATACAATGTCTGTATAAATCTTTTTGACCTTAAGACCATGCTTTGCTGATCCGACATCCTCGCATTTAAGTTTTTGAAAAGTTACAAATGTGCGCAGCTAACAAGCTATAAGTGGTAGGTTTGTACTTAAATATCTCACAATCTTGGACATCTTTTGTTGACGATAATTCATATAACAAGCACATTAAGCCAGAGAAGTCTTAGCTTGTATTTGGTAACATCATCTTATTTGTGTGTTATGCAATCATTGTGGTTTTGAATGTACATACTGCACACCAGACAATTTGGGTAACACAAAGAGATCAACACAAACCATGTAAATACTAACAGTGAGTCCTGCTATCAAACAAAAAAAAAGACACAAATACTGATCAGAAATAGATCAGATTCTACAAATATTATTGTCTCTAACTCTAGTGTTTTCTTTTCCAGTATCATAAAACTATGTATGTTGTCAGCTCATGTTGTAGAATATAGTATAATGCTAGACGTAGATATAGTCTCACATACCACTGTATTTTCTTTCTTAGGGACTGTACGATATTTACCGGGGGGGGAGGGCTGGTGCAAAATGGTCCGGTAAAAAATTTTTTCCATGGCCCTCCCCCCGGCTCAAAATTTTTTTCCATGGCCCTCCCCCCGGCTCAAAATTTTTTTCAATGGCCCTCCCCCCACCCCAAAAAATTTTTCGGTGGCCCTCCCCCCCATTTTTCCAGTCCATGTCTCTTTCTCCCTCCGTAAATTCCCGAATGAAGTACGCATCCCGATTAAAGTACGCACCCCCGATTTGGGGCTGGTGGGAGACAAATATTCCCGTCTGAAACGTAAAATGGAAAAACTCGAATTAAGTACGCACCCCTTCTACGCACGGCCGGTACCACAGTGAACATGTAGTATGACAGTTCGTCGTTCCAAACAAATTTAAAATTGTTAAAAACTAGATTTATGCCGTGTACTACGTGATGGTATGGTAACGTAGCGGGAAACGTTTCAAGTTCTTTTGTTTTTCACCGCCGGCCGCAGCCGACTTGCAAGACGTCACCACCGCATCGAAAGGTAAGGCAAGTGCGGCGAAACGCACAGATTTGGATCCAGCTTTGGAGTGTTGGTGTCTTGGTGATCAAACAAGCAATGGTCAATAAAGATTCGTGAAAAAAAGACAATATTTCAATATTGATTTTATCGGTAACGAGGGGGGGGGGGTACTTGAATGTTGATGCACAGGTACGTAGCTTTAATGTTTTTAATACGAAATGCGCCGAACACTTCTTTAATAGTGCCCGCGCGATTGACCCATGGAGAGAAACAATCATACAGGCGGAGAACTGGGCGGAGTATTTGGGTGTTGAGGTGCTATCGAATTTAAAATTTGACACCGAAACCAATTAACACACTGGGATCAATGGGACTTTCGATTCCGAACAGGAGAAAGTGACAAGTTTGACTGCGTTTCAAGTAATCTCTCATTATGTGATAGATGTTTTTGTCACAAAATCAAAGGAATAAACAGTGTGTTTATTAATTTGTACTCCGTAAAACTTATAAGTACAGTCTGTTCAGAGGAAAGAAAGACTTCCTTCTCGGGGTCCATGTTCTGGAAAGCTGTCCTCAGCGCTGCGCATGCCACGGCCCTCTCTGTGTTCTTCAGCTGTAGGTGTACATAATGTACTTTGCCTGTCGGCGCGCCAAACACCCCACCCACCGGCCGGGCGGTAAGATTTCATCAAAGGCTACATTTTAAGTTAACTCCGCCCCTATCATTGTAGCTTGCCGAACAGTCGAGTAGGAGTACATCTAGATGGAATTGTCACGTCGTACTGACTGGTGTAGCCCGCTACAAAAAAGTAATTTCCTGTGGCATTTATTAAGATTTAAAAATATTTGTGATACGAAGTGAAACATGGTTAACAATTTCTGAACCTTTGAAACGACATGGGCATAATCTTTGTTGAAGATTCCTGAGTTGAACTCAAGCCGGAAGTGTATTGGAAATGATGACCATCAGTCGAGGCACAACTGTTATGTTATCACATGTTACGTTACGACGATCAAGAACGTTCACGGCTTGCGGACCATTTCAAATATTACCACTCATAAACCCTACAATTGTATGTGTACTTACGGGAGGTTATATTTTTGCTGGGGTTCCACTGAGATCGACGCCGGCTAGCTGGGGAACGATCCCGTCGGCATGACAAAGCACCGGGCGTCATTGCCAGAGACCTACATTTTCTTACCGTGGGTGACTTGACTTCTTCTTTTACCGCAACTTCGACGATATCGACGATAGTCAGAGGAAATATGTTCATTTATTGAAGTTTAACTTTATTTCCACTCGTCAATATTCTTATCTAAACATGCTATGGACGATCGATGTTCCAAGCTCCCCGTGCCGGTGTCCCGCTTTATTCCTGGGTCGTCCACGGATTTATCGGCGGAAAACTCAAATAAAGTACGCACCGCGACTTTGGCGACGGCCCGAGACACTTCTGGGATTTTGAAAAATGTAAAAAGTGCGTACTATATTCGGGAATTTACGGCGTATTTCTTGTAATTCGGTACTACGCGACGCCATATTTTACAAAAGTTTTTCGGTGGCCCTCCCCCCCAGGCCGATTTTTTTTTTCGATGGCCCTCCCCCCGGCTCAAAATTTTTTTCCATGGCCCTCCCCCCAGGCCAAAAAATTTTT